AGTTACGGCAGAAAGGTATGCGATGATGTACGTATGTTATTTTTCCTCCTTATTTCGCTTTATAATTTTAACGCTTTGCCAACCTTTTTTTTCTTGATCTTTTCTGGTTGTTGTGTTAGAATTGTAGACTGAAATGCTGTGCCGTAGATTGTAGTGTAGTCACAGAGTAGTAAAATACAGAGGATACATTCAATGGTGGTGTCTAGCACCAGTCGCTGGTGTGTAGAGCAAATTCTATTCGTCATCCCCTTCCGTTCTCCTTTCCTCCCTCACCATCACATAATACGAGCATTGTAGGGGAAGACCCTGTGCGCAACAACTGCTGTACAAAAGTGCTATGTCCATCGCCATTTGGCAGTTCAGGCTCTTCCTTGCTCGGTACAAGTACTTGCTGACCCACTATACCAGGGCTAAAAGCGCAAGGTTGTCCCATAAGCTTGTATCCTCTGTGTATTACTTCTCTGTAGTGTATTACAGTTGTATTTTAATTTGCTATGTGTGTTTTTGTTGTTATCATTTCAATGAAATATCTCAGTAATCTGCAAATGTTAATTGAAAATCTGCACTAACTTAATATGCAGTCAATAGTCCTGTATGAGTTGAATTTATGCTAAGTTTAAATTAAGTTTGCAGTTTGAAACAGTTCAGTTTTGTTGTCTGTGGAATCATTTGAGCTCTTAATTAGTTTCTCTTTTACTTTTTCAAATGTAGAAAATAAGTATTTTAGTAAAGTGTTTCGTAAAAACTAACCATTATCTGGATTTCAGGGACTGAAAAAAGTCAAAGCGCAAGGCATCGGTGTGCACAAACCAGAAGAAATTGTAGAATTTGGAAAGCAAGATCTCAAAGTTCTCTCAGATCTATTAGCAGACAAACCTTTCTTCTTCGGGGATGAACCAACAACGGTATGTATTTATGTAGGGTTTATCTAGGGTAAAATTTGATTGTGTGTGTAAAAAATTAGTTAAATTAAAATAGGCCTATATAGTTTTAGCCTGCCCTGGATTTTCCGCCGCTCAGAGTAACAGTACAGTTGATTGGTGCAGGTATAATGAGTACGCAATCACTTGTTTACTTTCATCGTTACTAGAGCACAGTATATTGATAAGAAACCATTGCATAATGAAGTATCTATACAGCTAAGATTTTAAAATCATTTTACTGTGTACTCCAAATAACACATTTGTCTTCAGAATTGTACATGTTTAGTTATCCAAACTTTTATGTCATCCAACCTAACTCAGTCTCATAAGGGTCTTAATAGGATTTAGTATAACTTATTCACAGTTCATTCAGGGTTTTCTAGGAGTTTTCAATGTACTGCAACTTGAAATTTATTAGGTTGATAATAATTATTGTGTCTGGATAATTGAGACTGTACCATTGTGTCCACTGTTGATTACCTATGCCATTTATCACTGCCATCAGACACAATTGTCTCACGAGTTGTGAGTTATGAGTCATAACTCATCTCTAGAGGTGTACACACTGTGGCTAATGTTAGTCTTAAATTACATTAGTCTCAAACTTGACTCATTACAGGCTCAACACTGCTCGTAGCCCAAAACGTTGTTGGTTTCAATGTAGCCCTAAGATTATGTTTTCACGTAGACATTGGATGGGTTTTATATTATTAATTAGTTACAAACTATTTTGAATCAAGGGGTAATAATTAGGAAATAAATTAATTAATAAACGTGTAGTGATTAATCAAATTTTTTATTTTAGTATTTATATAAATAATATATTTTGATTTATTTGTTGTTATCTTTGTCAAAATCTCTATGGCAAGTTTTGTGGGTGTTTTTTGTTTGTTTTAGTAACTGTTGATGGTTAAGCACATTACATTTTTACAAGAAGGATTGGAAAGATTTTTTCAAAAGTCGCCTTTATAAAGAAAAATTAAAATTCAGTCTTGCTCAGGAAGGTTTTAATAGTACCGTACTCCCATGAAGTCTAAACTTTCAAGCCTACTTCCCAACCTTGAGGCGTAATACACTGTCAAAGCATCTTATATTGTTGTGTGAAGATGAAGTTTTCACTCATAGTCTTTGTTCACAGCTGGACGTAGTTGCGTTCGCTAACCTGGCGCAGATCTACTTCGTTGACAAGGAAGTGTCATTCCCTCTCCAAGACTACATGCAGGAGTCCTGCGCCAACCTGGTGGGACTGGTCAACAGGATGAAGGACAAGTGAGTAGACACTTCAACTGTCACTTAACAGGCGTACTCCCTGGTGTGTCGGAGTCTTACAAATCTAATTTAATCCTTTGTTCGGATACTGTTTAATGGCATGAAGAAGAAATTACTCAATTATTATTGGTTATGTTATCAACTAATTGTAAAGGGTTGGATGATAACTTACTCATTTTTAATGTCTTTTGTTGAGAAAAGTTACACAACTGGCTTTGTGTAAAAATGGCTTGATGAGTCTTACAGCTCTATAAGTTAAATTATCTAAAATGATGCAAGGTTCAACCTGTTTTTGTATTTCTACTTTTTTATGTTACACAACATGAATCTCAATCATTTGTTTTGTAGGTGCTTCCCCGACTGGGAGGATATCTGCACCACGCTGGACCTAAACTCTCACCTGCCCAAACCTCCCCCAGAGGAGAAGGATAAGGAAAAGGACAAGGGAAAGGATGAAGAGAAGAAGGCGGAGAAAGATGGAGATGATAAGGACAAGGAAAATGAGAAGGTGAGAAAACTGGCTTGTGTAGCACCTACGCTGCAGTCTTAATATCATAGTCTTAACAGTATTTGTGTTGAGAAGGCACATGAAACAACTGCACACTTGCACACTTAACAAAAAATTAGAATATCATTTCTCATTCACAGAATTTGTAATCAAAGCAATTTTTTGTTGAGAAGTAATGTGTCTTAAGGTCCTGGATCTAAAAATAAACATTTACTTATCAAGGTTTAGTTTAAACCTTAGAATGTTAAATGTCAATTAAATGTATCATGTCTACCTAAAATAATGTTTTACTCTGTTTTCAGTCTGAGAAGGAGATTGAAAAGGAAAATGAAAAGGACAAAGAAACAGACGAGAACAAGGACAAAGAGATAAAAAAGGAGAAAGAAGACAAGTGAACCAAGAGCCCAGAAATCCCCGACCCACCCACGAACAATTAGTGTATAGCTTTTTAAGGTCATTTTTATTTTTTCTATTATGCATTTAATATATAGGACTTGTTGTGACCGTTATGTTAGTGTGTATTTAAAGAGAGAAGATCTTTTTTATTCCACCAACTGTAACTTAAAATATCCGTTAATTTAACTTCATTCCATCGGATTAATGTATTTTCTATGTATCGTTTTTAACTATAGTAACTGCTTTTCTATTGGCCAACTCCCGAACGCGGTCATTTTTTGTACCTATTTGTACATACAAATTATTATTATTTAACGCAGTATCAGATTCAGGAATTTATACATGTTAAACCGGTTTCCAGGGAGCTGACCACTAGGAAACCGAGTTTAGTAGTAAATGTAGACGGTAAGATGTTTTATATCTAAACGGTAAGCTCAAAGCGAAACGGTCTGCTCACAGGTAGGTGGTGTCGGGACCGATCGGACTCATTCTCCGGTCTCCTGCTTTCTTTTATACATACTTTCTTCCCTTCTAATTGTTTAAGCTGCTCTCGGAGCGTTCAGATGTTTATATAGTATATAAAAGTTCTGTTTCCATGACAAGCTTGTTTGAGTAGGTTAGCTTAGCTAGTTGTATGTGTACCTACATCTACAGTTTTATCCATTTCGGTTAAGTGTGTATCGAAAGGTTCTGTGTACCCTGTCCCGAAACAGACTGAGACGTGTATTTATTGTTTAGTTGCGCTGGCAAAATTTCTTCTAATTGGATGGCATTTTAACACAAACCATATCAACCATTCCTTGTATGCAATTGTTTTAAAATATGACTGTAATTTTGTTCAAATTACCTTAATTTAGAATACTCGAGATATGTTTATTATTATATAAGTCTATTTCATAGTATCTTTGATATTATTGTAACTATATGGCTTCTATTATGCTTTGAAAGGAGCCGTACAAACACCTAATAAAGGAAGATCTTTAAGTAAGGCTGTCAGTTGGTGTTTTTTTTTTTATCCTGTTTTTATTTTGTTCTCATCTCTCATTCTTAGTAAAAAACTGAAAAATGATCAATTCAAACTTATGTCAAAACTAATGGTGTAGGGCCAATGGTGAATCACTTCATTACATGCCAAATATTGCTAAAATATAATAAGTAACGAAACTAAACAATGGGCAATTTCTTCGTCACGGCATGGGACTTCTGCCATTCTCCACTGGTCTCATGGTCTCCGTCGAACTCGGACTCACAGTTTTAGCTCGCAGACTGTCCTAGATTGCGGATGTCCTGTATGTCTGTGCCGTGCCGCTCTAGTGCGCGCGTAGCTTTTATGAGGTTTTACTGTAGCTAATAAAGGTTTCACTGATATGGAGTATCCTTTATTCAGGTTTTATACTTACTTGGCAACTAATTATTAAAGCCTTACGATACAGTCGAATCTCGATAATCTGGCTTAAACAGGCAACTGGCAAGCTATATCATCAAGACTCGAGAGACCATTAAAATTAGTGGATTAGAGTTACTGTACCATTTAGTGGATTTAAGAGAAAGTTTTAAAGAAACATTTAAGTTGTCGAATTACTGCAATTCAATAGCAAACTTTTGGATCATGTACAATTTATCTGCCCGAGTGGAAGAGCAATCACTGAATTTTTTTTATAAAAACGATATTAAATAATTGGAGTTTAGGAGTGGCTGATGAGAGCTCTTATCTTACAGTGACAGTTTTTTATTCTGACACCACTTGTCAGTACTATAGTAGGCCTAGTGTATTTTAGCATTGTGTGTTTTTGTTTAGGCTATGACTTTTTCCTAGATGGGATTGAGCCAGGATACTGGATGGTCCAGATTATAAAGATTCACTATTCTCACAAACAAAATTGAGAAAAAGAGTAGACTTCAAAGAAATAACAATTATTTATACATTTATTGTGATATAGTACAGATAAATTACTTATATAGTTAAAAAGCCTATCTCTTCATATAACGAAGATACCAGATGTAGGCTGTTAAGATGCTGAGAGAGTACCTAAAACAGACAAGGAAACATCATCACAACTAATGAAATAAAAAGTCAGGGACTTTGTATCATCGAGCACATAATATCTATGTAATGTGCTCAATTCTTTGTATTGACTTGATAAATGAAAAGAAAACAAATCCAACTCCAGTTAATAACATTTTTAATTCCATCAAAGACCAATTCTAAAAATCAACTTCATCTTTTGAATGGTTGCAAAAGCATAGCAAGAATCACCCTTATTGCAAAAATACATAAATAAGAATCATTAATGAAAGAGAACACTCATTAATAGTGAACTGTGCAAAAATTGCTACAGTGGTGGATACGATTTCCTCATTAAATGTTGAACGTATTTGTCAGAAATCAGGGCACTCTTGTCGGTAGCTCAATTTAACTATCTCCATCCATATGGAAACAGTACAGACTTTTAAAAAGTGGTACAGACAGACACATCCACACATCACTAGTTATGCTGTTGTGACATTTGTGATTTCTCAATATTGGAACATAATGTGGGAGTAAGTGACTGTCAATGTCATAAGAGTGCTAACTTTACGTGGCCGTTGTAAACAGAATATGATAAACAATACTAGACCCCCGTAATAGATTACTGAGAACTAGTGCACATGTTGCTCGAATTCAAGCAATTGCAAAGTATTAGAGGAGTTATTTCAAAACGAATAACAGTCATATTTACTATGAGTTTAAAAGAGTCAACTCAAAGATTACCGGTGTGTAACTCAGACCATGTTTATCTTCGTTATTGATAAACCTAAAGCATTCCGGCCGGTTTTCTTCTTCTCAAAATGCCTCGCTGTACAGGCAACACGGGTCATTGACAGAGGGCCAATTGAGAACGAAATGTCGTTTTGTGGTAGTGTTAGGGCGCATTGTAACCTAATAGTTGAGATTGTCCAGGGTCAGGTGCTGACTGAAGCCTATTACGCGCCACTGTAGCTGCGGTCGTTATCACGATTACGCCTGCTGTCTATGTTTCGTTGTCGTCGCGTAGGAGGAATTAAAAAAAAAAATCAACAAATAAACAATTATAGCTACACAAAAAAACGATAAATGCACAAATTTAAGTTACAATCATCCTAACACGATCCGTCATAGCGACACAAAACAACGATAAATGCACAATTTTAAGCAACAACCATACCAACACGATCCGTCTTGGGGTTTATTTAACAACAATAAACCATTCATCATGAGAAATGAATAATATAAAACGAAATGAATAATATATTTATATTATGAATGATAATGTGCTTTGAGTAGTTAGTACTCAAATATTAAATAAATGTACTCAATGTGTTTCATTGAATTGAAAAATAAATAACAGCAATAAAATTATACAGCTGATCAAAATGTAAACAATTATGTTCTCCATAAGGATAACATGGGAACTTTCAAAGCCACTGGGGCAGAGCCAAAAATGTAAGTCCAGTTTGCAAATCTACGCGACACGCTCTTTCCAATGAGACGTCAATGGATAAAATCGGTTAAGAAATGGCGGAGGAGTTCAACCAACAAAGTTTCATGTAGCGTATTAATTATATAGATAGGATTCTTGTAATGTTTCAGATGGTAGAAAGAGTAAAAATGAAGTATAGCTGATCTAGATAGTAAATTACTAAGAATACTGTATTATTTCTGTACATCTGAACTGTTAGAACGATTATGTGAAATAACGCTGATTATATCTTCCAATTAACAGTGAGCATCACAAAATAGTAAGATTCTATGCTAACTATTAACGGCAAGAAATAACTGAATTTAGAATAACCCAGCAGTAGAAAGACCAGCTTAAACCTACTGGACAGGGAAGAAGGTGACAACAATTATTTATTTCGCCTATTCCTATTACCAAAAGGTTTAGTCTCACTATTTTTGCAAAATATGGTAAGAACTATAAAACTCTTAACAATAAGAACTATAAATTTCATTTCCCATCCCAACTACATACCAGGTAACGATGTACGATAAATGTTCATTTCGTATCTTCATGATGGTCTGGCCTCCCCACAACTTTCCAGGGATGGAATGCTCTTCGGTAGCATCAATCCAGATTGGTAAACAATCCTTTTTGTTAGCTATATCTGTAATATCTCTACAACAAAGAAAAAATGTACAATACTCTTTATTCATCTTATTATTCAACTTTTAAAATATTTTATGTTTTTTATTGTTTAAGGGCATATTATAAAGTAATGTCCTCTGGTCTGTTAGTACAAACAAATAGTGATTGATTTTTCTATCTGTGATACAGGGGCATGAATCACCAGCATCTTACAGTACATAGAGAGCAAAAAGGTCTGAAAAAAAAACATGTCTAGTAACAGAACCACTTACCATCTTGTTTAAGTATTTACTGTCTTGTGAGTCAACAGTATTAGTGTAAATATAAGTGTCAATATATTTATTTTGAAAAAAATTCAGGTAATTTAATGAACACGCAAATGCTGACCAAGATGTTATTTAGCAAAAAGGCCTTAGCCAAGAGTATTGGCATGTACTCTGCTGATAAAAATAATAAATTATAGCTTTTTACGTTATGCTTAATAATACATTTTCAAAGAAATCTTTCTCATTACACTGTTTAAGCTCAATACCGATAGTGCCAGATGTCATATCTTTCGTCAGTACTGGGCCCAAAGCCTGCTGGTGGTTCTGAAAGTCTTATCACTCCAGTGAGGGTTAATTCTTCTCCCTTAGTGTTGCTCCACACTCGATCTTTCTTCTTGATAGTCTTTGTGCGGATCCATCCTCTATTGACGAGAATTCTATCACTGAAAAAGTTCAAATCAAGATTTATAAGATTCCTTGGTCCAAGTCAATGTTACTTATGTTGCAACTAAGTTACTCATTGTATGAGAGCTAGAAAAAGTAAGATTTTTTTGGAATAAACAAAAAAATGTGTACAAGAAGAAATAATTACTATACAGGGTGTCCTGTAAGTAAACAGCCAAACTCCAGAAAATATTTTTATGGGTAAAAAAAGGAAAATCCAGAAATGTTTTTTAAATGCCTTGTTAGCAAGATATCCGGCATTTTTCTTTTTAGTAGCCTATTTAGGAGTCATAAAAAACAAAGAAGAAAAACGAATTACCCCGTGTCGGAGAGTACGAAGGGTGTTACTAGGTTGTATCCCAGCGACTCTTGACCTGAAGGATGGATAACATCTCTCTTGACCTCACCATGTACAAAGCAAGGCTTGGGTCCGTAGAAGAGCTCCTCGCTGTGGTCGAAGCGGCCCGTTACTGTCACCTTGCAAAATTCCATACCCGCGACTACTTCTGGACTTCACTTACCGAAAACAATTGTAAAACAGTTAAGGTAAAGAAAAGCGGTGAATATTTTTAACATGAATAATTTTGTTAAAATAAACTTACAGAGGGTTACTTCTAAACCTTGTCCTACTTAACCGATTTATATTTATACGATAGAGTTGTCATTTTAAAGCTTATGGCTCCAGGGGAGGCAAAACAGTTTATGAAAATTAAAGTTGAATATGCAACAATTATTGATAGAGGTACGCAATTTATACTCAGTACAAATAACTTGTTTTTGAATTTTCATGACATTACAGTTCAATAATAAGAATACAAAACTGAACAGCCTAAGGTGTTTCTTTGATAATATTTTAACCATTAAGATATAGGCTAGTAGGCCTAAACAATTAATTATAATGCAAAGCTAAAATTTAGTTTAAGAGAAATATTTCTTAAACTTAATATATTAGTCAACTCACTCTAACGGGAGCGGAACTGGATCTGATCGTTGTCTTTCTTCCATAGTTTTTATCAGCTCTTCTTTCCATTTCAACCGTTTAACTTGCCATGTCCCAAGACCAAATGTTATTGCTGGTATGATCTGGAAAAAATAGATTTCTTTTTATAAACCTCAAAGTTTGTAGAATATACATTGAAGGGAGGGTTAATATTTTTAATTCTTTAAATGATTAGTTGCATGACTGTTTGGCTTAGAAAAAGTACCGTAACAAGGTAAAATTAACTTTTTACGTAGTTTTATTTAGTCTTTTGTCCCATTTCCGAGAATGTTGCGGGTTTTAAAAAACATAACCCATAAACAATGTTAAGTTTCAGAAAATCTTTCAATTATCCAAAAACTTGAATAGGGCAGAATAACTGAGTTATTTTTTTGATAGGTAGAGCTGTTCTTTCCATTTCAACCGTTTAAACTTGCCTTGTGTCCCAAGACCAAATGTTATTACTAGTATGATCTGGAAATTAAAACAGTTCCTGGTCGATTAACCAAGTTTATACTCAACAAATTAGTAAGCTTTCCTTGTCCCTACAACCTTAAGGATCTACTGAAACAATATACCAAAGCAGCTTATTATAACGAAACAAACTCATGTTATCCTTATACCAACAGGAACCGGATGTTTTTCAAACTAATAGTATGCAACTCTGTCAAGAGGGGTGAGGAGTGTAATTTGTTGCTGTATATTAGGCTTTTTTATTATCATGGGAGCATTAACACCGCATGTTTGCCTATAATGAGTATGTACAAAATTTCGAGCATAATAACAACGGCGCAGAGAGTTTTCTAGTTCCCTTTCATCTTAGACACCACCATATAGTTTTCAGCCGAAATATAATTCTCAAGTGTATTAGCAATTTGAGGAAAACAGGATACAGCCTATCCGAAAAAAGAAGATGCTTCGCCGAAAAATAACTGTTAAACCCTTATTAGGTGCCATGATTTTGTACATTTACATGAGATTTAGGGTCACCGATTTTCTTGAGTATAGGATTATAGCTATGGTACTTCCCTCTAATTCCATAACCGTGTTTATGCACTCATACCTCCAAACCATATGCATATGTTACACTGTATGCTTAACACCGTAGACCCCACCCCTAACAAACTAATATTTATTTACCAAAAGCAGTTAGGGGGTGAGCCCTAGTATATGATACTAGTCCATCCTGATCCTTTGCCTTTAAATGTTCACTTGTAATGTTTTCAAATGTTCTTCAAAACATTCATCCACAATTTATTCAATATCCGAGGCAAACGTAATGGTTCAGTTTTTTGTTGAAAATCCTTCATTTTGCATGTTGGTAGACATAGCATCAAAATTTTATAAAATGTAGGCTAATCTTTTAGCTAGCTTAATCAATGGTGAGTTTCTGCCATCTACATGATCCTCTTGACATTGACTGCCTTGTTAGTTCTTGGTGGGATTGCTGGTTAGGTAATTTTTATTCATTGATCACTTTGACGATTGCAAGACTCGGGCGTATATACATTATAAAATGTCTATTAGCGACAACTGGTCAGTCAATATTTAGAATTAAGTAGGGCATATGTACTTACCAGTAGTAATTTACCTCCCTTATTATATGTAAACTTGGGGTTTACATAAGGAATTGGATTCTTCACTTTTGGAGGAGATTCTGCTGGAGTACATTTGTGTCTCACTTGAATGGATTTAACCTCTCCTTCTCTTTTTATTGCCTGTGAGAAAAAAATTAGTAAAAACTAAATTGGTCAAAATGTTTAATAATCAAAGAATCTAGCCTAAATGGAAGAGGAACTTCATTTTTTTAAGAGAGTTAAGAATTAATTTTGAACCTAAGTTTAAAACAATATATTTATATCTAGGCCTATATTATTTATTTCAAGCTTTCTCATAAAAGAAATAATGTCATGTTGGGTCCTTATATTTAAATATCACATCAGATTACATTCTATTTAGGCTAACTCTCCATGGTTGTATTAGGTTCCAAAACACGATCGGTTCGGTGACACAAGTTTTTTATTTTTAATTGAAACGTTAGACAAACAATGTTTTATTTAACTTACCTACATATTATATCAACAGAAAAAGGTATACAAACTAGGTACAATCAATTTTTGAAACCTTACTTATCGTGTTTAGCACTATTTTAAAAGTGCAAAAACAGTCTGGATTCATTAGTGTTCTCCCGATTTATTAGAACCAAAACTTCACCTTACTAATCCAACCTAACTTCAAAACACTTAATACAGTCACGAATCCACATAACACCCCGACCTACCTACCTCACATGCCTAAATAAGAACTGATTAGTTCACAATAATCAACGTTCAGTTGGATTTACAAATGCTTCAACCGCATTGTCCTCTTTGTACAAACTTAATGTCATTTTAGGTTTCTAGACGATCCTTTCAATTGTTCATGTTTGTGTTAGTATCAAGGCGGCTCCAGACATGCGCCAATCGCCAAGCACCGAATCGAGAGTACAGTAGACTCCCTCTTAACCGGACTACTCGGGACCGAGGCCAGTCCGAATAACGGTTTTTTCCCAGTTAAGTTAAACCGAGTTCCCCAAAACTCGTAAAAATGGACTGTTTAAATGCATACTGTAGGTCCTACAGAATTTGTCTTAAATTTAGGAGAGCATTGTATTTAGACACATAATCACTGGTCTCAAATCTTTCCAACGAGAACAGTCGTTTCAGTACCGCCCACTTCCTGCCGATCTAGTCCGGTTAAACCGATGTGCTGATAAAAATTGTCTGGTTAAAGAGATGTCATTTCTGCCGAGTGTGTGGCTAGTCCGGTTAAAAGGTGTCCGGATAAGAGGGAGTCTACTGTAGTGTGGATAGATGTTTGCCTATAAGTTATGTATGACAAGCAGCAAACATTCATGCTCGTGTTTTCCCATTCATTGTCGGTAAACAAATATTTTTGCAATTCCCGAAACAAACAGTTGCTCGGAAAACAACATGTGTGTTAACGTCTAAGTTTACTCGTTAATCGGCGAATCACAAGACAACTAAGTTAGGTCGCCGAACATAAAATAGTATTCCGTACTATGCGAATGGCGCATGTTTGGAGCCGGCTTTATCACAATAATGGCGACAGAGACAAGTAAAACAAGAAGCATTACAGTAGATCGTAAGTTAGTTTATTCAGTTTTTGTGACAGCAGAAGAAAATATTGCACCATTGTTTTCAAGTAAAAATCTAATTTATAATGATATATAAATTACTATAAGTTCCCTTGGTCACCTTAATATGCATAATAACCGAGAATTGTAGCCCATATTAGGCTTAGGACACAGAGTTAAGTCGAGTTTATAATTTTAAGCTGTTTTATTACTTACATTGTACATCCATGTATCTGGTAGGGATTTAAAAACTTTCTGACAGTTACGAATCCAACATTTCATACTCATAATACGATGGATTATAAAGAGATGAGATTGATAGTAAAATAATTACTTGCTATATTGCTATGCTAATACTAGTTAAAGAATTGAGGTTAAAAAAGCAGTAGCAGAAAGCTAAGCAAACTCAACTCAATCCAATCCAGTACTCAAACTGTTATGTTCTATTTCTATGTTTGCTGGGCTCGGACTTTACAGCTAAAGCTTGTGATGATATCGGGCTCGGGTTTTTTTTATGTTTTATCTATGGTTTGGCCTTGGCTCGGGTCAAAAGCTATAAATAATAATTATATTATTTTACATCAAATATCAGAGGTTGGCGACATAGTATGGTTGCAAATTTTACCATATAGGTATTTAATAAGACCGTGTATATGGTAATGGTAAGACTAAACATTAATCTCTTTACAATTTTCATTCGTAGACTTAAGGCCGGTGTCATCAGCTTATTGCTGGATTTTTGAGAGAGCCGTGTCAAATCGGTAGTTACACTATATACATTACTTTCAGTGCCTGGTGGTTCACCCATTTTAAGATGTGTCATCGTCAGTGGTAACTGGTAAAGCAAAGCTGAGACAGGAGCTTCAACTGATAATGAGAAATGAGAATACAAATTTCAAGTGGTCTCCCCGGAAAACCAAAATTGTAGAGATATTCTCTTATACATGTAATAGCTGCCCCCCCCCCACGAATGGGGTTGGGGTTTTCCTAATTTGTGTCACAGTCCGAAAACTGAAATTGATTTCTCGATATTGTGGGAACTCGGTTTAGTTTCTGTGAATACTTATCATTCGATTATACTCGATTTCTAATACAATTGCTAAATACATTTTTATTTAAGACTAATTAATTGTGATAACTTGGTTTAGGTTTCATTTACCCGTGAATACCCGGGTACTGATCGCTCAGAATTATTATCATAAATACTGTATTTAGTTAGATTAAATCTGATCAATCGCAATTTGAAGAAATCGGAAAAAAAATCTACTTGGTATTACCATTACACATTACAGGACGAGCCCACTTATTTCTCTGTTGGTCTTCCCCAATCGTTACTTACTTACTTGCATACTTGTGTTGATCCCACTAGTAGCTTTCCAGCCGTGGTCGTCAAAGTTGTTTAATTTTCAGGTAGGGCCTATCTTCTCTTAATCCTCCAAAAATTCTTCCAACTTGTAATAGGCCTTTTCTATTAAATAATTTTTGAGGTTTTTCTTGAATAAATTTTTGTCTTGGCAGCTTCTTATTTCTTCTGGCAATTTATTATATATCTTACTTGCAGTATGATGTGGTCCAGCTGTTACTAATGATGTTCGGTGACAATTCAGGTGTATATGGTTTTGTTGCCTGGTGTTGTAATTATGTACTTCGTGGTTGCGTTTGAAGACTTCCGGAAATTTCCATATCATCATAGCTGATTCCAATATATGAACGGAGGTAAGGGTAGGAACTTTAAGATTAATAAAAAGTGGTCTGCAATGTTCTAAAAAAATGGGTTTTACAAATTATTCTAATAATTCTCTTCTGTAGTAGAAAGACTCTGTTTGCTTCACTGCTGTTGCCCCAAAGTACGATGCCATAACTCAATACGCTATGAAAGCACTAGAGTCTAAACCTTCGCTAAATCATCATGATGTTGTCCCCTGGCACTGCGGAGTGGGGGAAGCAAAGCATTCTATTGGCTGAGGGAACACCATTACCGCAACGATACGTTTGTAGCCACCGGCCTCGGTGGTCTAATGGATATTGGATAACGTGCCGGGCTGACGATCTGAAGGTACCAGGTTCGAATCTTCTCGGTAGCACTAACTTTTTGTCTAAGATTTTTGCATTATCAGCAAGTTTGGTTAGTTTGGTTAGGTTATGACAGTTTAATTTGTTAATTAAGCAGCCATAATAAACTTTCATCAGGATATGATGATCCACTATGTTTTGTAGTCTGCGCATAAGACAACATACTACCACAAGTCTTGAGGTTATATGATCAATGTGGATATTCCATCTAAGGTTATTGCTTATTTTTATTCCAAGATAGTTTACGTTATAATTTATTTTTAAGTTTTGATTTTTTAATTTTAAGAGAGGGCTATGGTCAGGTGCCTTTGTGTTGAAAAAACAACACGTTTGCTCAATGCTCGTACTAGGTAGTAGTAGTAGTAGTAGCATAGACTAACCAACTCAAGTATGTTTTATCTATGGTAGTAGGTAGTAGTAGGTTCGTTTTGTTTTGTTGCTCCAGCTTACGAAGGAGAGTACTTCAAGAAGCCAACCCCCAGAACCAGCGGAGAACGACGCGTCACCCGCCGCCCCGCCTGAGAGACCCCTTCTAGAGATGACAACCCCAGCAAGATCTTCAAGCAGCACAGCACCAGCCTGCTACGCTGCGACCGCCCTCCCGGGGGCAAGGACAGGGAGGGGGTAGGTGGTTTAGTGGGTAAACTACGGAGACACCCGTAGGAGTCCCATCCCCCGGCACGTCTTACATCTTACATCTTCGGGCGCTCCAGGAGGTGCGCTCAATGTATCGGGAAGTGCGTAACGCATTCCACCTACCAATAAAAAAAAAAAAAGTTGCTCCAGCTCCAGTGCTCTAGTCCAGTCCGAGTCCAAGTCCAGTCAGGTCGTCGTCGTCGTACTCCACTCCAACTCGTAAGGCTGTCGTCTTGGTTTGGTATTTGTGTTGTCGGTTACTGTCATTGTCAGTTGAGCGTCATTTTATTAATCTTCTTGCATTTAGAATTGTTGTGAATTCTGACTTAGGCCCAAGTAAGTATGAAATTTAAATGAATCGATTAAGGAATTTGTATTTTAAATGTTTTTATAAATTGTATTTGATTATTCTAGGTAAGGTTGTGAATTGTGCTTAGCCAAGCCTGCTAGTTTCAATTAGGCCTAGGCCTACTTAGATTTATCCTAGGCCTATAGTATGGTAGACCTTTTATAATGATTTATTGCAAACTCTCTGAAGCCTTCTTTCTCTAAGGATTAACTTATTAAGTAATTCATTCATTGTTAAAATTGTTTTCCATATTGTAAGTTCAGTTTAAACCCTTTTGTCGCCAAGGATTATAAATGTTTAAGATTTTAGAAATTTTATTTCTGTTAGCCTATTTTGCCATACACAGAGGATACGTGTCCGGTAACCGGACGTGGATTAGGCGTCCGCAGGGTTGGTACGGTCAGGGAAAACCTGGAAAACCTGGAAATGTCAGGGAATTTTGTTGGTCTGGAAAAGTCAGGGAAAAGTCAGGGAATTTTGGAAAAAATCTGGAATTTCTCTTGAAAGACTACATTTTTTACAGATATGCTACATTTTGCATCTAGGTCTCAATACTTGGTCAAAAACATCGAAGTTTGACGAAAACATCGATGTAACAAAAACATCTGGAACCTACCATCGATATAAAAAACATCGAACATCGACAGACATTCTATCATCACCCTCTGATTACTGGCTTAATTGAACGCACCGAGCTCCCAGTGTTTCTACACGACCAAAAGAATATAATCCCGGTCACTTGGTTAAGAAATCCCGTTTAATCCCTTTAGATTTTTGATGTTAAATTCTGAGTGTTGAATTGGACATATTTCGTTTAAATAGTTGTTTTAACTTTGCTATTATATTTTGTTAAGGTAATTTTTTCGATTGGGGTTAGTTTTTCACTAAAATAAAAGCATAGTAAATAAAAACGGACGTCATAGCCAAAACTCCTGTTTTATCCCACATCCCCTTCAAATCCCGCTCATGCTCTAAAAATCCTGTTTTCGGGATCTTATCTTATCTTATCTGACAGGGGCAGGTCTTTAAGAGACCTTTAAGCACTTCATCCGAAATTGAATTATTTGGGGTGCGCAATAATTGCTTTCTTCTTGACCTACAAGTTAAGGCGCCCAATGAATGCCTGTAGCTTCCCAATTAGTTCATCCTCAGGAAGGTATCTACCTCTAGCCATATTTCCAAGAGTTATCGATCTAGCGTCAAAGAGCTCGTTACAATCAAAGAGTAAGTGATCAGCTGTCTCTTCTGACCTATCACAGTACCTACAGATCGGTTCACCATCATATAAGCCCATCCGTTGTAGATGTTTCCTGAATCTTCCATGACCAGTTATCAGTTCAACAATTAATTTAATTCTTCGTCTGTCTAGTCTCAAGAGGTCACAGGCAACCTTTTTAGAAGGCCTAAACAGAGTAAGCTGGCTGACCCTAAGAAGGGGAACATCGACCCAGCGTTTGCGATGCTTTTCCTTGGCCCATGACGCAATCGCAGAACATGCACTGTTTCGTGAGATGCCACAGAAGGGTTGTGGGCCTATCATTGAAGTCGCAGAGGCAGTATTTGCCAATCTGTCTGCAGCTTCATTTCCTTTAATGCCTGAGTGTCCTGGCACCCAGCAAAGCGTAAGGTCATTTCTCCTACCCAACTCAGACACAGAAGCAAAACAATCCCACACGAGCCTGGAGTTGAATTCGTAAGAGTTTAATGCTTTTAAGGTCGCTTGACTATCAGTATAGATATTGATTGTTTTGTCTCTGATATCTTTGTTAAGATGTTCTTGAGCACAAACTAGAATGGCAGTGACCTCCGCTTGAAAGACAGTTGGGTACACCCCCATTGGAAGACAAATGCCAGTGCCTCCATTCATCCAATGCACACCTACTCCAGTGCCCCCATTTTTGATCTTAGAAACATCAGTATAGCATTCTAAATCACCTGTGGGTATGGGTCCTTTTCCGCCAGACCAATCCTTCCTATCTGGTATTAGTACTTTGAAAGGCTTTCCAAAGGAGTATTTTTTGGACATGTGATCTGAAGGCAAGTGCAATTCATCATTATGTACCACCTGAACAATTTTGGAGTGCCCTTTATTGTTTCCTGAGGTTATCCATAAGTATTCGCATCTAAGGCGTTGGGCTGTTTTACTTGCTACCACCTTGATGTAAATGTCGATAGGTAGCATATCAAGCAGACAGTCAAGAGCCGCTCCAGGACAGCTGCTTACTGCCCCAGTTATCATTATAAGAGCAAGCCTCTGAACTCCTGCTAAAGCTTTGACAGCTATAGTAGATTCCATCTTTGGCCACCACACAAGCGAACCATATGTAAGGGCGGGTCGAACAACAGATACATACAGCCAGTGCATAAAAGTTTAGGCTGTAACCCCCATGTGCCACTTACCATCCGCCTGCATGCCATAAGGGACCATTTGCCACGCTCAGTGACTTTTTGAAGATGTGGTCCCCAGTGAAGTGATCTGTCCAAAATTACACAAAGATACTTCACCTGATTCTGCAGCTCTATTACAGTGCCCTGCAGTCTTAGTGGGCCGATCCCATCCAGTTTCCTCCTTCTTGTGAAGGGTACTATTACAACTTTCCTGGGATTTATAGAGAGCCCATCTTCCTGGTACCAACGGTCCACTACCCTTAAAGCTCTATTCATAAGGTCAGTTATGGTTCCGTGGAACTTTCCAACCACAAGGATTGCAACATCATCAGCATAACCTAAGGCGAAAACCCCACTTTTGTTGAGTGTCCTTATAAGGTCGTCTGCTACCAAATTCCAAAGGAGAGGAGAGAGAACCCCCCCCCCCCCTGAGGGCATCCTCGAGTAGTTCTTGCCTCGATCGTGTCATTATGGAGTGAGAGCCTAACCTTCCTACTGTGAAGCAAGGATTCAATCCATCTACATATTATACCGTGAAAACCTCTTCCTCTCACCGCATTAAGAATTGCTGGAGTACCAGTATTATCAAAAGCACCTTGAATATCGAGAAAGGCACCCAGGGCCACTTCACTGCTCTCTAGAGATTTCTCAATCTTGCTTACAAGTTGGTGCAACACAGTCTCGCATGATCTTCCTGAGACATACGCATGCTGATTATTATGAAAAGGATGTGTCCTAAGAGCTGTATCCATCATATATCTTGAGACCAACTTTTCTAGGATCTTAAGGAAGAAAGAAGATAGAGAAATGGGTCTAAATGACTTAGGATCAGTGTAACTATCCCTTCCTGGTTTAGGAATAAATGCGATACGTGAATTACACCACCCTAAGGGAATGTGTCCTAAGGCTAAGCTGGCTCTGAAAAGTTTTCGGGATAAGTTAATAATCCCACGTATGGAAACACTGCTAGTACCGGGATGCGCGGAAGGATAGGCCTACATTCATCGTTTCAATTTCAATACGATACTGAATACAATTCCTCATTGAATTTATAAAAAGAGAAAAGAATTTATTTATAAAAATAAATACATCTGCCTTAAAAAATAAGGTTGCCAATGACACAGAAAAAATTATACAAGATAAAATTGTATAAGACTGATTAATTTTGATGTTTGCCATATAGATGATTTCTCATTATGCTCAATGAACCTCTTAATGTTTCATGAGTAATAATTTTCAAAAAGGATCTGTCCAAATCATATTGTTTCCAAAAGTTCACAAAAAATTTTGATAATGTTCCTCTTGAACCAATAAACAATCCAATCACCTCAACTTTCCAAATTTTAAAATTTTGCTTGAAATATTCAAAGGTAGGATCATATTTTTTTTCCTTTTCTTCATTTACTTCGTTAGGTTGATTTATGTTTATTTCAAATCGAATTGTTGAATCGAGAATTATGCCTTTGTTAGTTTCTCTTTCTATCAATAAAATATTTACTCTTCTGGTGCTTCCTTTAGAAGAAAGACAGTGTACTTCTTCTTGCACTTCCCATGTGTTATACCTTTTTCGGAAGGCATTTGCTATGATACTTCTTATTTTGTGATGCCTAGTGATTCTTAGAAGTTCACCAAACGGACAGAAGCCAAGGGCATGTGCAAGGGTTTCAATCTCACCACAGGCATGCCTGCAGCGGTTATTGCCCTGACTTCTGCTGTGGAGAACACGCACTGGCACCACATTTGCAATCATTTTTATACTGTCTTTCCACTCAGATTCTGACAAGCCTTCTTTATTAATAATACTTTTATTTCCCGGAGTATAGTCTTTGAAAAGTTCAACACCTTTACCCTTTCAATACTGATTCAACCTTTAATAAACTAAAAAAAACTGCACTTGTAGGAGTTTATAAAAAAAATTTTATCCTGTTAGTTGAAACATTTAATAGTTTAGTTTGGTATTACTTTTTGTCTCCGGTACAAGCATGGTAGTTATTTTTCCTATATCACATGTTTCTTCCGATATAAGCCGATGATATCGCAAGCAAAATATCGATATATATATCAGTATCAGAAGCACCGTATCGTCTATCTGCTAGTGTCAAGTCAAGGCCAAGTAGAACATAAAGTGTGAGGTTAAGTTAGTTGGTACTCTTAATTTTCCAGATTCCAGATGTTTAATTCTTTTCTTATTGGTTTTATGAGTAAACTATTTAGGCCTACATTTTTTCTAATAATTCTCGATTCTGACTATTCGATATTTTGACTGATATTATACTTGACTGATATTAGACTGATATTATACTTTTTCCTGGAAAAAGTATAATATCAGTCTGGAAAACCTGGAAAAGTCAGGGAATTTCATTTTCCAAAATCAGTACCAACCCTGTACGCAGTTACTGCCTAGAACCTAACCAATCAAACTTGCTGACAATGACAAAATTGAATGAAGGTTAAATTCTGTTCATAAAATAAAATTATGAAAGCCAAAAATTCTAACAAAAGACGTTTAGTTAAGAAGTAAAACATTCAAAGCAAAATCTGACAAAAACTTAAAGTTACCGATAGGATTCGAACCAGGGACCTCTTGCATATCCAGCCGAGCCCTCTATCCACTAGGCCTACACCACAAACTCCAATGGCTGAATAGCAAGTCGTTGTGGTAATGGCGTTCCAGGCCCCCACAACCCGGTGACGCCACTGCCGGACGCCTAATCCACGTCTGATTACCGGATGTGTATCCATGTGTTTTCCATATTCTATAGGTGAAAAAATAATTTCTTACTAAGCTAAAGAAGCTTAAAAGACTTAAAAGAAGCTTAGAAGATTTTACTGATCCTTAGAGAAAGTGTCCACCAGAGTGGACACTCTCTAAGGATCAGTAAAATGTTGCAGAATTTGTCATCAAAGGCCCAGCTTTCAAAGGATCTTCCTGTGTTGTCCTAACTTATCCAAGCTTTTCACGGAAAATTTTATGTGGTCCCCTATTTAAATCGCAGACAGATGAACCCACGAAATACTCTTGAAAAAACAACCAAGGCGGATTGAAACAATTATAGGCTAACTTGGATTACCTATTGTAAGTTAACTTGTATCTTTCTCTTAGCCACAGACTCAAGGCCCTAACTTAATCTTCTCGGGGCTTTATCATAGCCTACATGGTAGTCAACCATACTAACAATAATAATAAATTGTGCTTTAAATTCTCTCATTTTATTAATTATTATTAGTTGGGGTACGGACTAATATTATGAATAACTAACTTAATATTATGTAGTTAACTCATTTGTTTTGTAGTTAATTTATTTAGCCACTAACTTATTTTTACAATATTAACTTAAGGGTGCTCTCTACCTCAGCTCGGGCTTCAGTAGCTATGTTGCGCCATTGAACAGCACCGCGAGAAGCACTTGCAGACGTTCACGGCAACTGCCTTTGTAAACTACCCATGATACATAATAGTAAAAAACAATGAGTGGGGTTTTACAGAAGAAAGAACAATCTATGCGACCCTGGTTTTAGAATTTTTAAGTAATAGTTCTATAGTTAGTTAAAGCAGTTTAAAATTATTACGGTTTTTTGCCTACATTTAAAGAAGATTTTCTGGCTTTATGGTACAATATTAATTATATGGAAACAGACCCTTGCGTTTACAGAAAACGGCAGGGGTAGCCTAGAGCACACCCTTAAATGCATGAAAATATGTGACGAATCTATACTAACAAATAGAATAGCTGTAATATTAGGCCTACTGATATTAACAAAGTTTTATATTGGTAAGTTAGTGCCATTGCTTAAGATTAAATTAAAAGTAAAGTTAATTCATTCGGTTAGTTTAGTAGGCTATGGAAAATAAAGATAGATGAAATGGATCAAAAATAATGTCAGCATCATATTTTAAAATGCACTAAACAGTCCTTTGTTACGTTTATTTAGATCTAAAATGTATCAAATATTGCCAAAATTAAATCAAATTTTCTTTACAAATGATCACAAGCGATACAAACTGCTCATAATTGCATCTGCTCAGTGAGGAGCTCGGAAATATATTGTACCGATTCGTCGTATAATACAACGAATTAATGTAGCAGACGCAACAAATAGTCAGCTGATTACACAATAGAAAGACTAGATACCCACAATGCTTACCACACAAGTGGAGGGGGTAGGGGCCTAGCCACGGAGACACAGTCGTCGAGAGAGTCTGTCCTTTGCCTTCCTTGTAGCTAGTCGGGAAAAGTTTCGTATCATGCAAATTAAATTCATTTCGCGGTGTTGGTCGAATAAATTTTCATTTTCTTAAAATTGTTTAGCCTATATCCCGAAGGGATATAATTGCAACGCGAGTGGAAAATAGAATCAGTTTTTTGCGAAACAAGTGTTAAAAGTTTGTTTTTACCGACCAACACGAGCCGCCATTTGAAAATTTCACGTTCGTCACACGAAATCAAATCGATCGCGTTTTTTTCGGAAAACCGTCTAGTTACAATTCCCCATCCTCATCCCTGTGTTTATGTCAGTGTTTTTGTGGACGTCCAAAGTTTGTAAGTAATTTGTGTTATTTATTGTTATATATTAGAATTCAGTGAGTCGCACATGTGTAAAATTTTCTTGTTATAGTTTAAGTCATTTCCTGTTATACTAGCACATGTTCTCAGGTTGCAGCTTCCATCAGTATTTTTAATATCCGTTTATTGTAAATCAATCTGCATCGTTTATTATATTGTGACTCTCTAAATATATAGGATAAATTAAATTGTATAGGGTTTTGTACTCATAGTGAATGTAAATTGCAAATTATTATTGAATAGTATAATAATAATAATAATATAATAATATTGAATATTAAATAGTTATTGCATGGTATGAAAGTGTAAGTTAGATTGAAGTGAATGGACAAGAAGAAACCCACTGAAGAAATTATTATAAGTGCATGAACTGCTTCAATGTAAATGGTTTATACTGTATTGGAGCATGAAAATAAAATAAAATAAAATAAAATAAAAAAATTATTCTACTTATACAGATTCGTAACAGTCATTGTTTAATTTTGCTGAAGTATCAAACAGAGGTAATTTAAAAGTGCCACAGTCAGTATTTTATTTGGGGGAAATTTTAAATAATATCAAAAGTGGGAGTAGGTTGCTGGTTCGACTAGATGCGGAAGTGTTATTGGAGGTTGTGACAGTTTGTTAATAGATAAACCGCCAAAGTACCTAATTAGCCATAAAATAACAAGCAATATTCTAATACATACTACTACGATTAAACGCAACATTGTTCGATCAGTTGGACTACGAGACTCGACCTTCATTTTTTAATTCGTTGGCCTACGAACAGGATTTGCTTGGTACTGGTCATCTCAAACGTTAAATTAAATATCACGCCTCTGTTGACACGTTCGTGATCAGTGTGTAATCGCGCCGTAACTTCCCTTTTGATAGGTCCATTTGACATTCTTAAACAAAAGACTTCAAATTGATTGTTGCACTCAAAGTCATTCAGTATCACACAAACAAAATAATTAATTGTCAATATAAATAAATCAATATAAATAATTAAGTGTATCGTCAATAAATATTGTACAATAAATCAAATTGATACTCACTTTTTAGTTCTCAATAACCTTGGTATTTCGTTATTAGCAATATTAGTTATCTAGTGTAATAGTGGTACAGTTCAGTAAATCATAGGCCACTACAAAAGATTCACCTTTTAAGTGCAACACTAAATACTAGTGTGGTAGTGAGCAAACTAAATTCAGTGTAGATTAAGATTGTGTATTAAGCTTCATATTAAAGGTATTTTAATCAGGAAAAACTTCAAACAGTACCAGGGACGTCCCATAAGGACTTCTGGGGATAATATTTATTTTACAGGGCCCACTTAAATATTTTTTAACACCAAGCTTCCACTGCCAAAGCTCTGTCTTATATTATTACTTTCCAAGTTCTTCCAACCTAGGGGCAACCAAGATTTGTAAAGAATTCACTTTGAGAGCATTGCAAGGAGTAAATATATTTAAATCTAAAAAAGTAGAAATCAGAGTTATTATTATTTTTCTTTACAATATTCAGAACTGAAATCCCTAATGGAGTGTTAGGAAGGATCGTGGAAGCTTTACTGTAAATGAAATCATCTTGTCTTTGACCAAGTGACCCGTTTGTATAGGAACGGTAATGAAAAAAAAACTCACCATACAAACATGTAAATATGTACGGTACAGCTAAACTTACTTAAATGCAAAACCAGCAAGAGTTGAGCCTTGTCTAGGAGGTATCCATGTGGTGTGTTTGTAAAGTATAAAGAGTTACCTATTTTGAATAGGTTATTTTGTACATGTATTGAAATTCGATAATTTACTTATAGTTCAAGATAAATATGACTCCTATAACATGTCGCTCTCCCCGTCTTTAAGAACTTTAAAATATGAAATGGTTATAAATATTTTTGTTATAGTTTACCGTACCCTGTAGCCTGCCGGAAGTATGTAAATAGTTGTAAATATCGTTTTTTGTATTAGTAATCGTGTTAAAGTGACGCTGTCAATCCCACATTGTGGGTAAAAGACGAAGAAGGAGGTATTAAGGTATTAAGGTAAGGTACCCTAAAAGGCCTATATTTGTTATCTGTGTGCAGAGGAGGCCTACTGAAGTTGTAACCTTAACCATTCTTTGTTTAGGTATTAATGTCAAAGGTCACAGACGTTTTGGATTTTAAAGAACTTGAAAAGGAGTTGAAGGAAAGTATAAAAGAGGATGAAAAATATTGGAGGGAAAACGACGCCAAACTGCGAGCTGTGAATCAAAAAGTTGCTTCCTACGAAGAGTTTAGGTAAGATGAAATTTTCAGACTCATTAGAGATTGCACTGAGTTAAGCTGTTATTCAAATTAAGTGCCTTTTTAGCAAACAGTAGGCTTAGCTTATTTTTTAAATTCCCATGGTATAATGGTTTTAGTTTGCTTAAATGGATATATGTATTTTGATTAAATGTATTGTATTATCTATCTATATATTAATAGGCAAGCATGTTTCTTTAAAACCTTTTCTCTCAGCTCCTGTGCATTGCAGGGAAAATCTACGCATACTGTTAGAAAGATATTTTCCTGTAGAAGTGCAGAATCCCTTTAAAAATTAAAATAGGCTCAAATATAAGCACAAAAAATTTATTTGAAATTTAAAAAAAATTTACATGGGCTTTATGGGTTGCCATGCTGGTGACGAAATAACAACGAAATATAAACAGAAAATCAAAACAAATGGAAGAAATTACAATCACATGTTTTATTTACAGTGTGTGGTGCAAATAGAGAAGTCTGTACCTTTACATTCCATCCCCATGTTAAAGTTGTCACCAGTTTTTTTTTTTTTTTTTTTTTTTTAATTCGTCGCTGATCTAAATGACTAATTTCTGTCGAATACATGATGTTTTTTACCAAGTCAAACTTATGGAATGGCTTATTTTGAGCAATAGCAACTGTTATGATCCATCTACTTTGTCAACATTGAGTATCCAATAGTCAATATGTGTACATTACATGTTTGTTTTTGGTCGAGTTTTCGACCACTGGACGATCACTAGTATAATTATAACTGCTGAAATGTATCTTAAATTGAAGAATTCAAAAATAAATCGAATGATGTTTTTTGTTCAAGTAATACAGAAGATAAATATATGCCGATGCTTGATGTGAAATCTGTGCGTGCATACCTTCAGTTTGACACCTCAATCATAATAATCGGTTGGGTAGAAGAGCCAAATGAACTGGAAAAAGGAAAACCAAATTTAACTCTGTCCCTTAAGCAATATACATAGGGAGAAAATTTAATTTACATTTAAGCCGAGTGGGACTGAAGATAAATAGGTCTTTGGTATCCTCCGGAGGCCACCCTAAAACAGCGCGCTGCGGCGGTTATGTTAGGTTGGGTTATCATAAATGGATTTTCCTCATTTCGTTATGAATCTAACAAAACCAGATGGGTCATACTTTCACACGCCAATCCCCTCCAAGTAGGCCAAGGTCAGGTTGTTGACCGGAGTGTGCGCATCACCTGTCACCGCTTGTATCTTGGGTATTTGGCGGGAGAAAGTATGACTCATCTGGTATCGTTAGATTCATAACGAAACGAGGAGAGTCCATTTATGATAACCCAACCTAACATAACCGCAGCAAGGCGCTGCATACCTACTTAGTAGGTATAGGTAGGAGTATAGCGGCGGCGACTTATTCAACTCAATCCTCGCCATCATTGCTGCCTTCTGGGAAGCTGAACTCACAGGCCGCTAATTGTAATCATGTCAAATTTGGACAGTAAGTCAATTTAAGTATGTTCTTTCCAATAAGGTAGTTATTTTGGTCTCCAGTAAAAAAAAATCCCTCTAAAATAAGTGGCCTCTGGATAATACCAAAGTACCGATAAATATATGTCGTTTTTTGATGTGAAATCTGCTTGCATACCTTCAATTTGAGACCTTTATCATGAAAAGCGGTCGGATAGAAGAGCCTTAAACGAATTCGGAAAAGAAAGACCAAATAAATATTTAAAAGATTTATTTTAAATAGGAAATAAATCAGACATGTTAAAGGAAATAGTTCATTACAAATCCAATCAGGCAAATAGACATTTGCACCTGCAGGTTTTGCTGATCTGAAAACATTTTAATGTTGTTCTTATTGTCCAATAATATTTTTACTGATTGTTTTAGAGATATTGTGAAAGCTGCACACCTGAAACCGTTAGATAAATCAGATCGTCTCGGGCCAGACAGTAACTCCAAGGGCTGTATTTGGAATACCTTTGTAGAGAAAAAAACTGATTTATCACCTCTTCAAAACATGGAGGTTAGTTTGTTCAACCGACAGTTGTACCACTTTTACCAGTTGTATCATTTTTTAGTAGCCTATTTTAATTGAATTAATGAATTAAAAAACCTTTTTAGGTATTTAGAACAAATTAGTCTCATCTTACACCTTGTAACTAGTTCAACTAATTCAAACAAATCCTTTAGTTTGACAGCAGCTTGGAGCTGATTACTGCAACTATTATAATAAGTAGGCTGTGATACAGATTACGACTAACCAGCGATTAACATTTCCAACTAATCAAACTAAATTCCATTTTTAGCCCTTGAACTGCTTAGTAAAGACTAAATTAAAACATACCTCGTCTTGCAATTCAAATAGTGTTTTTCTTTTATCCACTACATGTTTCACCATGTTGGCATTTTCATGTTATAAACAGAGTATGACTGACAAACTGGTTTCAAAATTCAATAATAAAACACAAAACCAAAAACTGAATGTTACCGGAAAATCTGAAAAGAAATTCATTTGCATTGAATATAGCCAAACAGCCTACAATGGACTCCACAAAATGCTGAAAAAACTCTGACTCCATCTGACCTTCAAAACAACAAATAAAACCAAACAGGCACTATCCCATAATACAAGTGAGAAGAATGAATTAGATAAATCGGGGGTATATAAACTAAATTGTATGGAATGCCCTAATTTTTATAATGGACAGACTGGCAGAACTTTTACTCAGCGCTTCAAAGAACACTACCCCGACCCCAAAACTAATTTAAAAAACCAACGTTTGCCCAACACATAATAGATACTAATCATTTTGTAGACAAAATAGAAAACAGCTTACAAATTTTACACATTTGCAACAAAGGGAATAAGCTAGATTCTCTGGAACAGTTTGAAATATACAATAGCTACAATAACAAAGAAACAAAACAAAACATTTTAAATGAAAAATTAAATTTCAATTTCCATGCAATATTCAATACAATAGTCTCACAGAGCTCTGGACACAAGCAAGTCAACCTTTGTACCCCTGATAACAGAGAAGCCGAGACTTCTTAGTTTTCCTGCCAGTTCTGTCTCTGTCAGTGCCGTGATCGGGTTGCAATAAGTGTTGTAGGCCAGAGGCCTACATGAAATGAAATGAAATATTCCTTTATTGTCACAATTCATTTCAAGTTTTCAGCAATGCTGATGAAACAGGTGACATTATCCATTGTTAAAACTAGATGAAAATGTTTTGTTCGTGCGTGTTAAATGTATATACAGGTTTATGTTTGAATGTAAATTTCGACAACTTCACAAGTCCAATTCGGATAGTATAATGTTTCAATGTTTCTGTGTACCACTTGAAAATGCCAACATGGCGAAACATGTAGTGTATTAAAAAAAAAAACACACTATTTGAACTGCAAGACGAGGTATGTTTTAATTTAGTCTAATCAAACTAATTATAACCTGGTAATAAATTGGACAGAATAATTAGATTAGGTGTTGACATATTGAAAACTTAATTGTTAATTTTTTACTTTTAACTTAGTTCCAGTTTGGGTTTATCGTTTATCTGTCCTCATCACACAGGTGTATGTTTTTTAAGAGCCACCTCCTTCCTTCTCATCAAGCGTTGATACTGATAGCACAAGTGTGTCAATTGGATGATTAGCCCATTGCTGTATGAATGGTCCTTTGATAGCGTTTCTTGGGGTATTTGTCACTTGTCCTAGCTTAGAATCAGCTGGAAAAAAATGTCAATAAATAATAAATACTAACGTAAAAAATAATTTTAATATTCAAATATTTTTTCTTCTAATTGTGATACACCGTTCTTGTATTTTGAATGGATATATCCCGAGTAATTTGTCAATGTACCTAAATATTTACGCTAAATTGGTGTTGTTTCTTGATTGATGAATAGTTTAACACAATGTCTATAACCTAAAACACTTTAAAATGCATAGCCACCTGTTTGACATGAAAGTAAAATCAATTCCAATGTCCAATGTTTCACAGATTGAAAACGTTTTGAATGAAATCAAGAACGATGATGAGTCGCTGACTGGATATCGATATGTGAGAAAGTTCAGCGTTCTTCGCACAAATGAGGAGCGATACAAACTGCTCATGAAAACCGGAAGTGAGGAGCTTGGGAATATATTCAAAACTGAAATCCCCACTGGAGTGTTAGGAAGGATCGTGGAAGCTTTGATGTGCTTCTCTCCGACTGTGAATGAAATCATCTTCGTCACTCAAGTCCTGGAAATACTAACCAAAACCAAGAGGTGAATACACACATTTATTAAATAAGTTAGTGAAAGTATGGAAAAGAAAACATGCGAGCTGGAGTAGTGGTTAGAGCGTGGGACTTCAGTCCCTGGGGTCCCAGGTTCGATCCCTGCCAAGTGACCAATAGATTTTATCTAAGTGATAATGCCGCAACCCCTAGGTCTAGCCTGAAGTATGTGAAAAAACAATCCCTGGCTCGTGCCTAGCGTCCTAGGGGAAATTTTTTTTAACCCAAGTCTGGGATTGTACTTTTTTATTATTTAAGGTAAAAAAAATAAAATAAGCAAAAAAATTGTTGTCTAAATTAGATGACCTATATTTTGCCCCTTCATGGGGCTTCTTCAGCAGAAAGAAGTAGAATGGCAGTTGATAAACTGGTGAACATCAAGCAAGTTATTGTGTTACGAACTTTCTTGTTCTTTCAACTACCTGGTGTGACTTTTCTTAGGAAAGTTAGTTGTGTACCAATTCCTTTATCCTTAAAGTGTATTCCTAATAGGGATGGACGGGATTGAATTTTTAGTTCGGGACGGGACGGGACGGTATTTTTATTTCCTTCCCAATTTTCGGGACGGGACGGGATTTTTTTCTGTGCATAAAAAGAAAGTACTGTATTGCAGTTACCAAAAAAGACATACAAAATCAATTTTTACCATTTGTGGCACTGATCTATAAAAACCAAAAAATGGGTAACAATTTACAGGTACTTATAGAAACTTGTGACTCGCGGGTCACGGGGTGATCGTCTGTATGACTCATGGTCACGGCGCGATCGTCGTCATGACTCGCAGTCACGGCGCGATCGTCGGTATGACTCCGCGGTCACGAGGTTATCGTCGGTATGACTCCACGGTCACGGTGCGATCGTCGTCATGACTCGCGGTCACGGGCGCGATCGTCGGTATGACTCGCGGTCACGGCGCGATCGTCAGCATGACTCGCGGTCACGGCTCGATCGTCAGCATGACTCCGCCATCACGGCATGATTGTCAGTATGACTCCGCCATCACGGCATGATCGTCAGTATGACTCCGCGGTAACGGCGCGATCGTCGGTAGGACTCCGCGGTCACGGCGTGATCGTCGGTATGACTCGCGGTCACGGCATGATCGTCGGTATGACTCGTGGTCACAGCCTGTTCGTCGGTAGGACTTTGCGGTCACGGCGCGATCGTCGTTATGACTCCGCGGTCACGGCGTGACTGTCGGTATGACTCCGCGGTCACAGCCCGATCGTCGTTATGACTCGCGGTCACGGTGCGATCGTCGATCCAATAATCGCGGCCACGGCGCGATCGTCGTTATGACTCCGCGGTCACGGCGTAATCGTCGAAATGACTTCGTCTCCTGCGTTCGCGGACCTATCGCTAGCAATAACGGCGTTATCGGCACTCGCGAAGCGGAAAAATCGCCGACGATCGGACCAAATCTCGTCCTGAAAAATTCCCGAGTCAAATGTAATCCCGTCCCGATAATCGGGAATGTTTTTTTCCTGAAAAATTCCCAAAATTTCGGGACCCGTCCATCCCTAATTCCTAAGGAAAGTGCATTTTCCTACAATAACCTAACCTGTTTGTATAAATTGCAATATTTGTATGTCCGTAGGTCTGACAACTTTTGTGATAATTCTCGGATTTTTTTCTAACATAGTTGGTTTAAAGACAAGTAGTTATACCATTCTGCTAACAAGTCTAGTTAGATTACAGATTTATTCTTGAATTCCAGATTCAACATAACACTAGACTTTTTAACCCGAGAAGAAAAGGATTTCTGCAGCAAAATGATGAAGAAGTTGGAAGAAAGTCTAAAAGACAAACAGCAAGATTTGGCAGAGCAAGGAGTAACAGAATGGACAATAACTACGCTTAGGTCCAAGTACAAGGTGTAACTTGGCTATGTAACATTCTTAATGTAACATTCCTGTTGTTGTTAATGTAATCTTATGTTTTTACTGTAAATAATTGCTTAACAGTTTTATTTTCACTTGTTAGCACAATAATACGTTTTACTATTAATTGTAGTGCCATTGTGTTTATTCTGTGATTTTTTTGTGTACCTCTACATATTTTACTGTTTTTAATCCTCGCTTTTATGTTTTCTCAAATTTTAGTCAATGTATATTTTATAATTATGCTCGTTTGCTTATTTTGTATGTCTAAGAGTTCAGCTCAATACAGAAAATGTGGATCGCTGTGATTTTAACTTTAATTTAACTTTTTTCAGTTGACTTGTAGATTTAGCTCAGAGAGGAAGCTATGTTTTTCATTCAAGTACAATTATCCATTAAGTACTCGATCCGTGGAACTGAATTATTTGATTGGAGTATATACATTTTTTATTTTATCGCCTCCACGTTACTAGTGAATACATACATTAAAACCCTACTAATAGGGATATTCAATAATCTGACATTGGTCGAAGGAAATTTGTTAAAACTGAACAAGCCATCCGGGTGCTTTCAGCTGTGAGAACGAGAACTGAGGTGAACTTGCTCGAAAACTCCTTGATACCTATTAACACTTTTTACCTTTGACTATTTCAATGGTACTTCGATTATCTTTGCAATTTCGGCATTTTAAGCTGGACTCAGTGTAATTTGACAGTTTCCGTCATCCCCAGCGCTGTGTTATAACCAAGCGTGCTCTTGATTAGCAAGGGTCTACTGTGAGTACGGCAAATAACTGTTTGGTAAAAATTTAAGGAAACTTTCAGTTTGAGATAATCCAACATCATTGTTCCCCTACCAACATATTATTTCTAAAAAACTGTCAATATTTATATTTAAGAGTCCTTGGAGGCTAGCGGCCATCTTGGATGATTTCAAACAGCTGCCGAAGAGTTATTTATCATCCAATAATATTCTTTCAAACACTAAAGTGGTTATAATTTAAATATCTAGGACACTGTGTGATTATAAATGTTCGATGTAGTTTTAAAAGGTTTTCTATGGAAAGTAACGGCCTTCTCGGATTTGCCCGCTATCAAAGTTAATTTTGTCAATTTTAAACAGCCACTCAAGAGTTATTTACCATATCAAAACATTTTTTTCGAATACCAAAGTGATTGCAATTAAAATATCTAGTGCACTCGCACGGTTGGATAGAAATTTTCTTTGTAGTTTTTTAATTGTTTTGTGAGTTAGAGCGCCTAGGCTCCAAGGACTCTATAGAGTATTGGTAACTAAATAGGCGTTCAAATACCTAGGAAATTTAATAAATGTAGTAGGTTTTATTTTTTAACAATTTTAGTGGTAAATGACAATCTACATGTTGATTAAAGACTCTGCTGATCGTGTAGTTAATAAATGTTAGTAAAATTGTATTGTATACATATCAGAATAATTGAAATACCATTAAAATCAGAAAAGATTGTATTTACTTGTTTGAATGATTTTTTTGCTCATTCAATTGGGCAACTGAACAAATCCAGGTTATAAAAATCATTCCACTAGGAATTAGTTGTGAACAAAAAAGGTTTATGAGATAAAAAAATCCTTGTATATATGTTTCTAATAGGCCTATTTTATATTTAAAAATAATTTTGCCAGTAAACATGTATTTTTATCAGAACAATAAGATGAATTTACCTTAGTTAAATATTAAAAGACTGATGTATTGATTCGTAAGTATAAATATCGTAAATTGTAATTTGTAAGTGTGTTGTAAATTGTAAATTAAAGAGTTCTGACCCAATTAATACATTTACTGTGGTTTTAACTTACAATGATTGAAAGTTATTTTGCATTTAGGGAATAAGCTATTACTGTAGGTCTCATGGTAAGACCTGGGCCCGGACCCATTAACTTTTTTGTTTTGATGTTCCCAGAGGCCAAAACCACAATCCGTTCAAATTCATATTTATGTATTGTTAGCACAATGACTCGAGTAAAAATTTAAAATGATCCGATTTTGATGAAATCAACTAAAAGCGTATGTGCCTATTTAATTTTATATAAACCTTACAATTTTAAGGAAATATTTTGATAAAAATCCTATCAGGGAAATTCACTTACTCTGCAGGTTTTCTGCATCGGCAATATTATTGTAGTTTTTTATCAATTGTAAAGTTTTTTTTGTTATATATTTAACACAAAACGAATTTGTTTATATTTCTTCCTGATTATCACATCTATTATTATTAGGAGCGTTTGCTTGCATACACTATTTGATGTTTAAAAATTTAAAACTAAATCAAGTATGTATTACCACAGTAAATGTGTAAAAAGCTTCTGCTTTTTTAAAGATTAAAATATCTTTCCTCGAGAAGAAATACTAATTGCTCAGTTAATGCATACTTTAAGTTGAATGTTAGGTATGAGACATAAAATATTCTCTTAACGTTAACGTATTTAACATTCCTAATTTTCTGTTATTTTTTATGATAGAAATGTTTCATTAATATAATATAGTTGTTGTTTGATTGTAATAAACACTTTAAAAGTCTTTTTTCTAATTTATTTCTCCATATTGTTAACATGAAATTTAATTTAGATAATTGGGATAAGCGATAAGCTAGCCCTGACGACTACGTGACATGTAAGTATTGGAATTCCCGTTCTGACTTAACCGACAAAACTATATCAAATAGGGAGGAAAATGACTCATGGTACAGTAAAACCTTCTTTAAAAAAAGGACAAGAAAGTTTAGCAAATAATTACGCACTAATTCAAGACCTAATTTATTTTGAGTAATTTTTACCTCCACCATTATTACTTGTTTATATAATCTGAAATGGAAATCATAATATTTTTAGGGGTACCTATGTGCATTACTTAACCACTTTACCCTTTTATAATCCATTTTTTGTTGGTTTTACATGCGATTTGTCCAGAAAAATTCCAAAAGTTACTTAAAATACTACTTACTTTTGGCAACATTTACTGATTGCATATTATAATTAGATATATAAGTATTATTATTATAATAGGTTTATTTAACAACAACGTAATCCGGCTAGCAACTTGATCCCATGGTAGCCAAATACGAGGGGTTCTACTGTAATCAGTTCTTTTTAACAGCATGCCATGTGCGTAAAACTACAGCTATCAGAATTTTTCTTTTGTTTAAAATTTGTTAACCAGCATGATTTATTCATAAGATACAAATACATGTATAAATCAGTTTATAATGTACACAATTTTTTACTTAAAAATTTACTGTTCTTTAAAATCTGCATTTCTACAAGATTATGTACGTAGGCTAAAAGGCCAAACCTCGTCTAAATTATTACAAGTATATTTTTTTCAATACATTATTTCATTGAGGCCATGTGTTTCTAAACTTCAAATTTTTAGTTTATGAATTTTAAAATTAGTTTAAAACTTTACAAATTGACCAAGAATAATTGATTCAATATTTCAAACACATGCCATAAATCAAATGGATTTTCACTGGTTAAAATTGTACTGGCATTTTGGTTTGGACAAGAAATGGGAATGAAACACCTGGTTTAAGTTAAGAGCTAAAATTAGAAAAGAATAGCCAAGGTGCCTAGGCCAATGGCTGGGCTCGTGCCAGTGAGTCCATTGTACCAGGCCTAGGTCAGTGATGGCCAGCATCCGGGAAGCAATAAACCAGCTTTTCAAGCAAGGTTTGTTATTCACTACTTTTATAATTGATTTTGATTTCAAATAGGATCTTAAATTGTATTAATTGCATTATCAATTTAAAAACCCTAAACTATTTAAGGTACCTATGTACTCGTATACTGATTTACTGTGGAGGAAAAAAACATGGAAGAACACTTTGAACATGTTTTTTAAAAAAAGTTGGAAAAAATGTGGATATAGTTTTGTAAACTAATAAAACAACAACCAAAACAATAGTCACAAGGGGATTTTCTTATTACCGTTACCAATAGGAGAGTTAATGCACACAATATATTTTAGATGATTTTAATATTGTTTGCAGGCCAAAAAATGTTTTTGAAAATTAGAAGATTTCTCTGTAATATTAAAACTGTATTTTCTCTATGTCTGTAACCTATTAATTCTAAAAATATTTTATAAAATGGATTTCCATGTTTGTTATTTCTACAATGAAATAGCTTCATAACTCAATTATAAAACAGCCAAAGCCAACATACAGTACTTGGTATCCAATGGATGGCACAACATTTGTTTCTTAAACATATGGTTACTTGTTGAAAGCTTAACACATGATTTAAATAAATTAAGAGTTGCCAAAAATAGCAATTTCTGGTTCATCCTAAAAAAAGCGTCTTTTATTCATCAATTGACAGTAAAAAAATGTTCACTCACTCACCCATCACTAATTCTCCCACTTCCCATTTACCTAGGAGGCTGAAATTCGGTACACCGATTCTTTGGGCATTAAATAGGAAAACTAAGTAGTTTTTATTCTGATGGGGCTTTCGGGCTCCGCCCAGTGGATTTGGAGTTTCCCGTGTTAATCTTATGATTTTTCATATTTAAAAGGAATTAATGAATCTTAACAGCTGTCTCAAGTTGGTTCTGTTCTATGATGTTCAATAGCATTAAAGTTACAAGGATTACCAGCACTATTATTTTTTTTTATTTATGACAACAGCTAATTTGCAACCATAAGGTGAGTGAGCGTAGCGAACGAACTTCAACCTGAAGGCAAGTGAGCGCAGCGAACGAGCTCCAACCTAAAGGTGAGTGAGCGTAGCGAACGAAGTTCAACCAGGTCATGATTGAGCCATGCAAATAAGGAGTTAAACGGGGCAAAGCCCGCGGGTACATCTAGTATTTTATAAAAGTATTTTTTTACAAGAGTAGAACTCCTATCCATACAGAGTGGTATAAATTACTTCTAGGTAGTTATTTCCCGTGTTGATACACTACTAAACAATATACAATAATATTTTAAAAACAAGTTCTAAAAAAGGTTTATCCAGGCATTTCCGTATAAACTCTGTTCATCCAAATAATTAACAATTCCATAGAGTAAGTTTTAAGTAGCTGGTGTGAATATGAAATGATATTGTCAGGAGATTGGCAGACAGCACTTGATGTACAAACTACCTCTGATGAATACAACACAGTGTTATGGATACGTCCTACGTTGGCAGACTTGAACTTTATCTATGCAGCCATGAAGTCCCGCGGACTCAACCTTCTGATCAGCATTGGCTGTGGTAGCGGCTTCCTAGAATGGGTGCTAGCCTCGGCTACAGGTTAGATGATGTAGGGATAGCCTTAAAGATTTTTATTTTACAATGATTAGATTACTATTCAACTACAGTACCACTAGTTTATGACCTGGACTTCCCCACATTGATTGATAGGGGGATAGGGGATTAGATTTATTAGTGTAGGTTGTAGTCTTTAGAAGAAAATTTAAACTGTTGTAAATAAAAAGTCTAAAGTACAACACCTACATAAATAATCAGAGTCCATTGAACACTCCAATGAATACCTAAGTTAGGCCTATATAAAATTCTTGCCAACCCTATTATTTCCTAAAGTTAAACGTACTTATTTGGAGTTAGGATGTAGCACCAATAAAATTGTTTTTCAATTGTTTTGTAGCCAAGTGCAGAAATAAGCAAAAAATCTGTACAAAAAGCATTCAAAGATAATAACACGTTTTCTACAATACAATCCAGTTTCAAACAAATTAAACTTTCTTTTGTGGTCTAGGTTGGCTGCTTGTTTCTATTGAAATGAAATTAAATGAAAATGCTTCTTTATTGAGGCGAACTTAGGACCTCATATGGTCCTTTCTTACAGTTAACCTCTAAAAACCTAATAATAACAACAAAATAATAACAAAAAAATACAAATATATATATAAAGTTTGTAACATTGGGTTGTCTATTCCTTGGGTTTTGAAAATTAATACGGTAAAACCTTAACTATCACATGCGGTAACGAGATTGTGGCGGAAACTGAATAGACGGATAACAGAAATTCCTTATAAATTACTAAATCAATTAGAACCGTTACAGTGATTTTGGAAAGAAATAACGTATCGTACATTAGAATTACACATACTATTTTACCTACAGTAGGCCTTTAAATGCTTATATGAAGGTTCTGAATATTTTTAAGAAATGGCCCTACGGAAAAACTTAAAAGTAGTGAATACACACTTTTAGGTGATAAATAACTGAGATTGAAAGTTAACTGAAGTTGTACTATGTGTATCTTGATCTCACAACTATTGTGGCCTAATTTCCAGGCATTGTCGTCTGCATTTAAAGTTCTTCTGGATATTCATCATTCATGTTTTTGTCTTAGGTTTACAGGTGGTAGGTGTTGAACAGGACCCGAACTGGTGGACTTCTCCCTACATCCAGACCTACATTCCTCACATTTACACGGGAGATCCACACTGTTCTTCTGTCTTGTGCCATTCTCAATCTGCCGTCATGTTTTGTTATTTTAACAACGGCAAAGCGTTTCACGATTACTTGAGAACATTTGCCGGAAAGTGTGTGATAATTATTGGACCTAAGAGTCACCGGCACACAAACCCACATCCATTCCAGCCCTTGTTTGAAAATGACCAATGGGTTTTAAAGGAGTACAAACAAATTGGTGATAGCTTTGATTATATTGTGGTCTACGATAAAGTAGATAACTAAGGTTATCTACAAAAGCTGGTGTTATTTTTTAACAAATCCACAAGGTAGGGGTAATTTAAGATTGAAGTGTTAGGATTTAAGATCAAGATATTATTTGTAGGATGGTAAAATAAATAAAGGTTTTTTTTATTAATCGTCTAATTTTATACTAATTTACCTCCACACTAATTGATAAACATTAAACAAACTATTATGCCCAAGGATTTGGGAATGTATTTTGAATAAAAACTCTTAAGTGTTTTTCTTGATATGAAGTACTGGAACCAGCCACAGTGAAAATAATAATAAACTCTTAAAAAGCTAATAAACGGTGTATTTACAAATTTAACAACAACTAGGCACAATCAGATTGTGCTGATTGATAAAAATAATTATCTAACCAATCAGAAACATGTCAATATGATCAAAAAGACATGAAACTATTGACAGTAAAAGTATTGCTCTATCACGCACAGGTCATTGTGACCCACGTGATATTTTTATTTGCTACATGATATGCTGCAATAGTTATTTGTGTAACTTAGTGGGCAAAGTGGCACTTTGCTGCACACGAGAGCAATGTTTACAATGATGATCTCGAGTGCATCAGAGGCCTTTTGCACTCGTGTTACACATTATATTTTTCCTACAGTCACTATAAAGCATATAAATAATTAGTCTTTCAAACACTATACAACACGTTTTTAGGTTCAGCTGACAACACAAATAGGTGCCCTAGAGAAAGTAGTTCCCGGTCCGTATCACTCCGCTATTTTCCTCGGCAAGAAATGTGCTCCGCGACTTGAGAATATAGTTCCGTATGTTTTTGTAATTTTAAGTGGTTTCCGCGCCTAAAAAGAATGCTTTAAAGGTATTTTCTTGTTTATTAAGATCGTAGGAATGTTTTAAAAAAGTTTAAAAGAAAAGTCCAGAAAGTTCAGAAATACCGAAACTATAAACACAAAATGACAGGTTAAATCGTAGTTATAATAGTCAATCAGCTACTCATAGTATTATCTTTAAGTGTTGCCAACCTATTTCCAAGTGTACACGGATTACGTGCATAATAGAACCACGCTGTTTTGTGTTGTTTCGTTGGAATCCTGATGTGCGCCAAAGTATAAACCGTACGACAAAGTATAAACCGTATGACAAAGTATAAATATGCAGCAATTAGCAGCTTTCTGTACTATAAACAGTACAAGGAAGCCAACTTTGTCGGGTGACTGTAGGAAAAATAATTTGTTGTAAATAAAGAATTTCTCTCTCTCTCTCTCTCTCTCTCTCTCTCTCTCTCTCTATTGTAATTGTAACATAGCTTTTTTTTTTGTACCGTGTTTTACAGTAAAATATTAGTTATTATTGGAAGTTGGTAAAATGATTAAATCAGGTGTCCCATAATATAAATTTAATCTTAATAATTAATTAACAAAACAAAATAATATACACCACTTCACACTATATAAATACTGTAGTGCAAGTCCCAAGCAAAAGGATTGCACTAATATTTAGATATCCAAATCTCACTTCTTTGGTTTACTTATACCATTACAAATTTAACATCACATGGTTTTGAGTCCATTTTCGTAAGAAGTTACTTGTGGCTAGCCGAAAAAAGCCAACAAAAAATAGTAATATACAATTTGACATCACACTTACACATTTTATATCTTTGTGAATCTAAAGACTGACAGTTGCTCACCCCTAACTTTTCGGAACTTCAGCTGTTTTCCAGTGAACCCTTTTTCCATCATATTAACAAGAACTTCTTCAGGATTATTTTCTTTTATAAGTACAAGGTAAAAAAACGATTTTGGAGAAAGGTGTGGATTCATCTGTTCAATCAATCTGAAACATGAGAACGAAAATCAAGGGCCTGAATTATTTAAAGAACACACAATATAAAAATCCAAGAATCATCTTTTTTGTTTGTTTAAAAAATTGGACAGTTGTAAGTTAGATAGCCATAAGTATATGCTCCCACCGTACAGCCACCATCGGCTGAGTTATTATATCACAGAACACACTAAGGCCTAAAATGGTGCTGACAATTTAACTTTGGTACTCAGTACCGTACTTTTCCCTAAAACCGGTAATGAGAATTTACTTTCAGGCACCGACGCATCACAAGGTGCACCTAATGAACAATTTTTAAACAAATATTTTGGTAGGCCCAGGCCTACTTTATTTTTTAGCATGTCCATAAGAACACTCGGACCTTATGATGCACCACAGTTGCTCAATCAAATGTGTCAGCTAAAAAGATTAACCTATTGCTATTGGCACCCTTAAGGCGCGTTTACACCAATATTGACAACTAAAAGTTGACAACCAAAAGTTTAAAACTAAATGTTACTCTTAACAAATTTGACCAACTAGTGGAAGATTTTTTGTGGAAAACCAAAAGTTACTCATCTTTAATTTAGAGCAACTAGTGGAAAACTTGTAGCCAAAGAATTAGTGCAAAATAGTCAGAAGAGTAAAGGGTGTCGGAGCCCTTTATGAGAATGACCAGTAGTGATTTTGAATATTTCATTTCAATGATCGGACATAAAGTCAAGAAACGTGACACAAACTACAGGAAAGCCATACCTGTCCAAGAAACTTGCCGCAACTAGTGGAAAACTAAGAGGAACGCTTTGATGTATGATAGCAAACAAACAGGATAAAATATTTTCCTTGAATAACTACAGCCATTCTTGCGTACACGCAACAGTTGGATATGTATTTACCTGTCAATGACCAGTCTACCGTTAGCTCCACCTGCCCAAGATCTCTGGATAGAGCCTGCTATCTCGTCATCTGGAGTGACAACATACGGAGGGTTGAATATCAACACATCAATCACACCACACGCCTTGACACAGCTTAACAGATCTCCTTGCACCACGTCTACCTGCAGATGAGTCAACTTGCATTACTTTCATTATTTTTGGTATTAATGGTATCATTAAATTTCAATATTTGATTGTTTTTTTGAACAATAAAACCTGGAAGGAATAATTTTTTTTTAAACCACCTGAGATTAGGTTAATGCAAAACATACCAGGATCTACTTTTACTAATTTATGTTAATAATGAAATATGGTCAACCAGTGGAAAATGCAGAACAAAATTACAAGATAAGTAACCGCATGTCGTAAACAGCTACAATTGTTTATGATGCAGGAACTTACCTACGGATAGATTCTTAAACAATCCCCTATCCTACACTACCTACGATAAGTTATAAAAAATTCAAAAAATATAAAAGGATTTTGAATAGGCCTAAAAATGAAAACCGTGCAGCAAAAACAGAAAAAAATCCAAAAAGGTAAATAAAACTAAGAAATATTAATTTGATTTTAAAAGGAAACAAATCTTACTGTTCAAATAACCTACAGAACAATTAAATCACAAATCAAACTAGAAAGTATCTCAACTAAATATCTCAAATATTTAATTAAAAGAAAAGATAAATCGGTTGCATAGTTCAGAGAATTTGGTTTCAAAATTATTACTTAGCCTAGCTTTAAATATTCATCTTACCTCAACAGAATTCAATGTTGACGTTTCCTTTGTAACCGCACAGGCGCTGTTGTTTATATCGATGGCGAGGCAGAAGGCAGAGGTTCTCAAAGCGTTGGCTAAAGCAGTGATTATAACACCAGAACCACTTCCGATCTCCACAATGACGTTAGGACAGAGTTCGCGAATGTTATGAAGGTCTTCCTCCAGGGCATCCAGCAGCAGGAAACTGTCTTCTGCCGGTTCATAAACATCTGATGTACTTTCAAAGTTCCACTTGGGTGTTTCCATTGCTTGCTGTAAGTGTAACGGATGGTGTAGTTAATTATTAATAAATAAATCACAATTATTATGTTTTGAAAATCGTATTAAAAAAATTTGGATCAAAATTAGAAAACATGTCTCTAATCTATTTAAGGGAATCTCTTTGTTAGAATGGATACCATGAGTTTACATAACAGGTTCCTCAAGCAAGGTGTTTGAGCATGTAAACATTTTTTGTCAGCTATCCAGTTCATACTATTTAATTTGGACCTGTCTCGTTATTAATTAACTACTTATTTATTTATAATTCTTAAAAATTAAAATGTTGGTGTGCCTACCAAATTTCCATTCACATGAAACCTTCAAATTAAGGGTCTCACTTATGGGAGGTATAAATGAGGCATATTAGTTCAAAATTCCTACGTGAACAGCGCTGTAGTAGAGAGCACTTGGCTATAATGAAGGTTTATTAATCGAAAAAATAGTTCATTTCATAAAATAAAATTATAAATGCCTCAAATTAAATTTTATAATCTTTTTATTATAAAATTAAACTGTCATAACCTTTTCATAATAAAAAAAAATTGTTCTGTTCATAAAATAAAACTAGAAATGGCTCAAATTCAATTTGATAATGTTTTAATTATAAATTAAACTGTCATAACCTAACCAAACTTGCTGATAATGAAAAAAATATTGGACAGAATTTTTAATGCTACCGATGGAATTCGAACCTGGGACCTTCAGCTTATCAGCCCGGCACGCTATCCATTGGACCACCGAGGCCGATGGCTCCACACCGTATCGTTGTGGTAATGGTGTTCCCTCAGCTAATCAGAAGCCCACAGCTGTCATCGTAGGCTCATATATACCTCCCTTGAGTAAACACCTCAAATTAAAGAAGTGGTACGTGATACGGTAGGTTAGGTTGGTTTAATTAGTCAGACGAAGCACATGGTAATGTACCACTTTACTATTACATATGGGCGTGGTATACCAAAGCTGGAGTATATATATAAAGATGTTTGTTTTTGTTAACTTTCTTCAATAGTTTCAAAAAGTCTTATCATTTAACTCAAAGCCATAACAAACTGTCATGCTCATAACCAATCTTGTAAATCTAAGTGGAATTTCATGGTGTGGTGCTAGCCTGACGGTTAGTGTCTCGGACTTCGGACGCGTCACTTTGTGCACGACCCCCAGCACGTCCACAAAACTTTAAACGGTTTGGTTGGACCACTTTCCAAGTGCAAAACCCTTTAAAACCAATTGTTTGCTTTGAATTGACTTAAAAATGCCACTGACGTCGAAAAAATGTCTTAGTTGGAAAACTAATACTTACAGGACTTGTTATGAAATTATAGTGTTTCTCCAGAACTAGGTTTGGATGTAGGTTCCATTAATGTCTTTAGCCGATCAGCTTCCTGCTTACTGTGTTGCTGAATTTTATGTAGTCTTTCCTATAACAAAATCAGAAGGGTTTATAATTCACCCTTTACAACTTCAATACAAAAAATGATGTCAATTATGTTTTTGTTTGCATGTAGGCCTAGATGAAGAAAATAAACACGCAATTACAACAAACTGTTCTGAGAACTATTAAGTGAAAATAAACGGTATCAGCAATTTAACATATACTTTCTCCCATTAGTTTATCAACAACCCTTATGGCCAAGCGGTGGGAGTAACTATGATATTTATAGGGAGAATCACTGAAGTTGCAATCTATATAATTAATACGCTACATGAAATTTTGTCGGTTGAACTCCTCCGCCATTTCTTAACCGATTTTACCCATTGACGTCTCATTGGAAAGAGCGTGTCGCGTAGATTTGCAAACTGGCCTTACATTTTTTTAAAGTCCCTTGGGCTCTGCCCCAGTGGCTTTGAAAGTTCCCATGTTATCCTTATGGAGAACTTAATTGTTTATATTTTGATCAGCTGTATAATTTAATTGCTGTTATTTATTTTTCAATTCAATGAAACGCATTGAGTACATTTATTTACTATTTGAGTTTGTGTAAACATAACCCCCAAGACGGATCGTGTAAGCATGATTGTAACTTAAATTTGTGCATTTAACGTTGTTTTGTGTAGCTATAATTTGTTTATTTGTTATTTGTTTGTTGGTTGTTTGTTGTTGTGTTTAAATGCCTCCGACGCGACGACAACGAAACATAGACAGGAGGCGTAATCGTGATAACGACCGCAGCTACAGAACAGTGGCGCGTAATATAGGCTTAACTCATCACAGTCGGCACCTGACCCTGGACAATCTCAACTATTAGGTTACAAATGCGCCATAACACTACCCCAAAACGACTTTTCGTTCTCAATTGGCCCTCTATCTATGACATGTGTTGCCTGTACAGCGAGGCATTTTGAGAAAGAGAAAACCGGCCGGAATGCTTTAGGTTTATCAATAACGAAGATAAACATGATCTGAGTTACACATCGGTCATCTTTGAGTTGGCTCTTTTAAACTCATTGTAAATATAACTGTTATTCGTTTTTAAATAACTCCTGTAATACTTTGCAATTGCTCGAATTCGAGCAACATGTACACTAGTAACTCTTAAACCGCAATTTTTACAGCACTGTTTTGTTCAGAGTTGGAGAAAAGGACCATATTGTTATGGACTAAATTGTTAAAGCCGTTTTTGTGAAAATCCAAGTTTAAGGCCTATGTTATTTTATTTAAAAAACCCCCAGAAGACACCACAACCAACATACCAAATTTCATCAGTCTGTAGCTCTGAATGTGACAAGTGCCGCTATAAGTACACTGGCGCTTGCAGGTGAGATTCAACAAACTAATGTCCCTAGCCTACCCGGGCATAGAAGTGTTAAAATAATTCCTAACAGAGAATACAAAGAAAGCAAAACTTTTCCCATTCTCCAGAAAATAAAAAGAAAACAGCCTATATGCTTGTCAAATCTGTTAGGCAACAATTCGGTACCGTAGTTTATGTTTTAGAGACAAAAGTTTTAAATTCAATTCTTCAAAATTAGCAGCTAACTTTGTAGGTATTTAATAAATTAAATATCTAGATCAAAAAGGTATACATTAGGCAACTAAAAATGGCATGAACCTTATATTTCAACAAATCTAAACATTTTTACATTTTAACATTTGTGAAACTAAATTACATGGCTAATGACATACATGACATAATTACATGTACATGACTAAATTATGGCTAATGGCTGGATATACTTGTATTTAGTTCACTCGCAGGTTTTCTAAGCGGTTCATGTCAGTCAAAGCTAAGCCAATAAAAAACTAATGTGGCTTCAGACCATTTACCTGAGCAGTCTGCAAAATGTTGCTTATGACAGTTATCTTATGACGAGTGCTATTAAGTTTATTAGTATACGCTTCTAGAGCAAGAGGGCAGCTTTGCTCTGCTGAAATATTTTTCAACTCTTCAGAAAGATCATCAATCTGTTGCTTTAACTCCAGCTGACTTACTCTGTAACAAAGTAACACATGTTATATCCTGTTTGGAAGTAAGATTTTAATCCTATAGCTGGGTATGAACATAGACAAAAATAAATAAATATAGACTGTCAGCTGTGCTGCGGTTAGCGTATATTCCGGCCCCGACCGCTAGGGGTAATACACCGCTGCAGCATCAAGCGCTAGCGACCGTTTCCATAACAACTTGGTAGTTGGGAGTAGTGTTGCCAACTTTGGAGGAATTCCCCGGAATTGGAGTTTACTGACTTATTTAATATTAAGCAATAAATTAATTAAAATGCCATCATTTATTGTATTTTTTTAAACGTATATTCATTATACTTTTGTAGTTCCATTACAATGATTCAAAGTTTTTCTTTATTAATCCATAATATTAGGAAGTGGTTTATTGGAAGATTTTGTTTTATATTTGCAAGGTCAAAAGCTAATTAACTAGGGTGTCTAGTAGTCGGGGAAAACGGGAAAGTCAGGTATTAGTTTTGAATTTCAAAATGGTCTTGAAAAGTTGGGATTTAGTCTTTATTTTGATATCAAAGTCGGGAAATTTAATGATTATATCGCGATTGTGCTGGACAACGATCACGTTTCCGTGACGGCGCAAGACGATGATGGTGTCTACACGACCGCGGGAGATGTTCTTAAACCGCGACCGGGCTAGACGACGTTTTTGTGACCGCGGTAAAAAATGATCACGTCTTTTCTACGATCGCGCAAGACGATAATGTCTACAGTGCACGGCCGCTGAAGATGTTCTCAATTTTGCCACAATCGTGGACAACGATGGCGTTTCGGGACCACGGCATTCAATGATGTCTATACAGCCGCGGAGGATGTTCATGATTTTGACACGATTGCAGAAGACGATACTAGCGATATAGTAAGCATTTCGTTTGCAAGAGTGGTAGTGCTGGTTAACAGCTGGCAAGTAGTCAACGATGAAACCAAATAGAATACCGATAACCGATATCGAACGGCGATAACGCTCTAGCGGCAGATCGCAAAACCTTTCTTTGACAGTCTATATTTACTCTATTGTCTATGGTATGAAGTAGCCAATAATAGCATCGCCCAATCTGTTATTTGTGAAGAAGGCGATAGATTCATTCTGACAAAACAAGACTGATAAAGCAAGGACTAATTAATAGGAATGTTGAAAAAAAAATGTTGCTCAACTTAATTTAAAATTTAATTAACATTACTGGAGCTATCAGCTTTAAGATTGATTATTTTATTCTTCCCCATAGTACAGAACTGTACATAGGTACATACAACAAAATTTCCAAAGTAACTAACTTAAGTTAGCCTATTTAAGTTAATTTAAACTCATCACCATAAGAGTAAAATAACAAAGATGCAAGGGCGGTCCCAAGGGGGGGGGGGTCAGGGGGGTCATGACCCCCCCCAAAATATTTTATATATAGATAAACTATTATACCAGGGGAACTTTAATAATTTTTATTGCAAATCGTTCTACCAAATTTAATTCATTGCAGTCTTTACACCTGTGGCGAACGAATGGACTAATTACAAACTCTAACCCAAACCTCGGGATCGTTCGAGTCTGACTATTTTTTGTACGTTATGAAAAGTAGGGAAGATCGGCAGACGACGGACGCGTTCAGCCATATACGGCAACGGCAGTGTCCGATGCTGGCGTTCGACGTTCGGCCGCATTCTTCTAATCTAATTTTTCGGCATTTAATGTTACCATTCATTTTTTTAACCTAGATGGTTGAAAACTTGAATTGGGTATTGGATAAAGAAAAGAAGTTGTATCAATAGTCCAAGCTTGAAGGGTAGTTGAATATTAATTTATCTGAGTTCAGCAATAGGAATTTGTTATTACAGTAATGTAATTCAATGATTACCGTAGAAAATTTTAAAACTTTCTTAATATTAAATATCATTCATATTTAGAGCACCTGATATCATATTTAAGAATAACACTATCCAATTGGTATGTTGCTAGCCACGAAACAACAACAAAATGGTAGCGTCTCAGACTTAGATGCGGAAGGGACGGATTTAATTCCCGGCACAACCACTCACAACCACAAAAACGTTGCACAAAAACTTTATTCTTACATTGACCCCTTGTAAAATGCCACTGACGTAGAAAAAAATTAGAACACTGAGAACCAACTCTTCAGGCGGTAGACGAGACGCCGACGGCATTGTTAGTTGGGTAGTGTACTTTGTGTAGGTTAACTGTTGCTTGCTGGGCAGGTATAATGCAGTCGTGTTGGGTGCTAGTTCTTAAACACTTCTTAGATGAAATAAGTTCTCTGGTTCAAAATCATGGTCTGATTTTCAACAATTTCTGTTTAGCATGCACATTGGCACCAGTTGAAAGGGTGTTTTTGTAAATCAAACATGCTCAAATGTGTTGTAATGTTACGGTAATTCTTTGATATTAAAACCACAAGTCTCGATAGTAAAAAAAAACATGACATTAAACAAGTTTATTTTTTAACATTCCGTTGACCTTTAAAAATAAACTGGGGAGCTTGAACACATTAAACTAGGTCCTCAAAATAGCTTAAAAACTACTAATTTGAGAACGTTATTTCCTAATTTTTCCCGGGGGGGGACCCCCGGACCCCCATTCATTGCTGGGAGGTATTTCATACCCCCCCAGGCCCCCCCCCAAAAATATATGTCTAGGACCGCCCTTGCAAAGATGAAGGGCTTAACCATTTTTTAATTAACGCAAGTATCGGTACTTGTAATTGCATAGTACAAACCTGGTAGCACGAACCCTCTCATCTAGCTGGTCGATCGTAGGTTTCAGGAGACACATCAAACCTTCTGCCAAAGTGTCCCGTATGGGGTTTTCACAAAAATCCTCAGTTTTGTCATCAACAGATGTGTTGGTGCTGATTGTTTCCCCATCCATTTGTTAAAATTAAATTACTGAAGTGGGTTTTCTGCAACAAAAGTTGCGGCCTGGAGTTAAAGGTGGCCGTGACATAACGGTGAAATGTTTATAGCCAAATTGCACTATATCTTTCTCTATCCAAAAAAAGTTATTCTCTTAAATTCTTTTAACAGAAACAGTACCGGTACCAGGAGGAATCAGGATTCCTGCTTCCTTTTTTATTTTCAGCGGTGACAAACTTTAGGCATTTGCAGTTAGCCTGCATAATTTTACATTAGGCCTACCGGTATCTTATTTAATCATTTTTTAAATCCATGCACTTAAAGAGTACCTAACTTAAGTTATATTTAATTTACTAGATTTAAATAAATGAGATGTAATAAAACTAGGCTAATGTGTTCTGTTACTGCAGGCTTAACTTTAAGTTTTGTTCTAAAATATCAGAATCAACGCAAACATACACAACGAAGATGTATTAGCTATTTGGGTTATAGCCTAAAAATAAAAATGTACGGTAAATTATCTTCCGACATAAATAGGATATGTCCAGGTTGGTAAACAGAAAAGTTGGACAATACATTTATAAACATGGTAAAAATCAGCTGCACTTTAGTATCTGTTCCAACTTCCCTACTCATTTGAATAAAAAATATCGTTGTTCAGATCATTCGATAACTTATATCTATCGATTAGTAGGCTATATTAATTTGAATGAGTGTAGGGCAGATACTTAAGTGCAGCCTAAAAATAAATAAATTGTCTCAGTGTTGCAGCCAGTCAGACACAGTTGAGAGGTAAATTTAGCAAAAAAGGTATTTCTTATGCAAGTAGCTTCAACTGTATGAGGAATTTGGCAGACTAAATTATTAAGTATGCAACGTGCTAAAACAAATCCAGAAATCACAGTCAACCAAACGTAGGGAACATGAACACATGCAGATTGTTAAATGTGGTAACTTAAAAATTGTTTTGGTTTTTTTATGTGCTAAAAGCACAGCGTGGATCTTATTAGGTACTAAGTTAGTGAAGACAAGCGAGGCAAGATCTTGCTAGTGTTCCGAGTTCCTCCCTACCTCCTACAAATGATCAAGTCCTAGGCTACCTCTAGGACCATTTATTGCTTATTGACACCACCAAGGATCTAGCATCCCTATATAACTTCTCCGGTCTGCACAGGGATCGATCCTAGTCTCCGATCTTTGGAACGTGCCTTACGACAGTCTGCTAAGACTCGAAATGCCAGATGAGACCCACCTCGTTGGTTACGCCAGCCCAACGACAAACCATAGACTAACACCAAAAGCATAACCTTACGAAGCTAACATTATCAAATTTTAGTTTTAAATAGGCTATGAAGGCCGTAGGGTAGGCTATTCAAGATTTAATTTTATGGTTAACTATCTTCAAATAAGTTAGGTAGGCTAAGTGTATTAATATAAAAAGTTCTAAAAAGCCTTGGCTCAACACAACCTAATCTAATGATCATTAATTAACTCACAATTATTGAGAGTTTAAGTTATAGGCCTTTTGTTGTCTAACTAACAGGTAAGATATTTAGCAATTAATTAATGTACCGATATTGAAACAAATATATAGACATGGTGGCTAATGGTTTTTTTTACGTTTGAAACAAAACTCCCACCGATAAAACATCTAAAACTAAAGTAAGTAGGCTAATTGTTTAATGGCAAGTGAATAAAATGAACATTTCACCTCACCTTCACATCACACAAGACACAAAACAACTTCACAACGACAACACAACATGACAACTGACAACTAACAGTCAACAAAGAAAAGAACAAAACAAACAAAAAACTCGAATCGAAATTTGTTGTAGGTAACGAGGTAACCCGACCAGTCGGCTTGTTCCCATTGGTTATAATCTGTTCATCACGTTCCGTTATGCTGCAGCCCACAGTCGGCGCAGTCATCATTCATCAAGGGCGGGTCACAGTCACAGTCCACAGACCACAATCACAGAAGGGAGTTACCACTATTCTTGGAATTGTCGGCGGGGAATCGCAGCTCCTGGTAAGTCCATTTGAAACAATGGCACTATGGCAGTCGCGTCTATCGGTGTCCACGGACCACGTGTTAAATTGAAAAATTTATTTTCAATTTAAATATTGTTTTGGTTTTCAATTCTATAGCCTATGTTTTATTTTCAATCTTTCGATGAATTTATGTTCATAAATTTTAATTTAAATAAATATTACGCGAAATAATGAGCTGGTAACGGCTAAAATACGGCTGTCGGCATGTTATCTTATGGGACATATGGTGCTAGAGAGCATGTTTGATCAATCCTATGATATTACCATAAACATAGTCCATAGACTATGTACTAACCAGTGTAACCAACTCAACCCTCCTACAGGCTATACTTAGCCATAGATGAACTAATATATCAGTTTATTTATTTATTGCTATTTTTATTTATTACTATTGTTATTTATTACTATTATTATTCAACACCTAGTTCAACAAATTGCCATGGCCATACAGAAAGGAAATGTTGCCAGCATCATTGGTTCCACACCCACAGACGACGACCTTTCATCAATATTTTATTTGTAAAATTAATGTAAGAATTAAGTTTTGTCTATTTCTCTATTTCCAAAAATAATACAATATGGAATTAAGGACAGTTACACTATTAAACACTCAATTAAATGTTATATAACGGAAATTAACCCTTCCAGGGCTAAATTAAATGAAGGGCTGGAGCTTAATTAATTATTATTATTCAATACTGCCATTATTCATTACTATTGTTATTTATTATTGTTATTGTATTTATTACTATTGTTAATAATAATTATTGTTATTATTATTTTTGTAATTTTTTATTATTGACTACACAACTATATTCAATGTTAACTATTTGCAAAGATTTTTCATTATTATTAGCTCAGTTTTCTGTGTTTTCGTTTGTTCTTGTTGTCAAGTTATTCCTATTATACTGGTTATAGCTATCAAGGAAGAAGTAAAAGGAGAAAATCAAACGAAACGAATTCAAAATGTTGTTGTGGCTTCTAGCTTGGCATTCTTGGCAATGTGGTAGTGATTTTCAATTCAAAACAAAATAAGTGGATTTTGTTAAAAGATATTTTTTACGTTAAACAAGGTAGACCTACCTATATATCTAAGTCCTAAAAGTAACTTAGGTACTATTTTACATCACTGATAAGAATCCTGAGACACATTAAAATGGAATTTGGAGATTGCCAAGGTAATAATTTTAAGCCTTAGCTTTTGTATTGGCTTAAGTTAGTTGTGGTAATAGGCCTAGTAAAATATAGGTCGTGTAAAAGAGTATCTGAAAGAGCTTTAGAGATACAAATTTAGAGATATATTCCTTGGCAAACATATAAGTTAATAAAGCTATATTAAGTTGAATTGACCAAGATATGCAGCTCAAGGCTCATTCTTGTGAATTTCGCGAGGGGACCTTCGTGTGTCTGCGCCAACATTTTGTGCAAATTACATACCTGTCAGGCAAGGTGGTTCAGACGCGGGATGGACACGGTGGAGCTCGGTTGTATAGTTGGGGTTGTCCAAATCCTACCTATTGTTATTTATTACTATTATTATTCAACACCTAGTTCAACAAATTGCCATGGCCATACAGAAAGGAAATGTTGCCAGCATCATTGGTTCCACACCCACAGACGACGACCTTTCCACAGCTATTCGAACTGCTGAGAAAGAAACATAAGAAACCTCTAGGCCTAATCGCCTCGATAGTGGACACATCCGACGTTATCAAACAGACTGACAAGAGAGACATTCAATGTCATCTTTAATGACCATCGGAGGTACAGTAGGCTACCGGGACAAGTTTTTCCAGTTTTGGTGAAAACCTCCCAGTCTTCGCTTTGCCAATTTCATTCCAATATTTTGGCCTTTATCTCTTGATTTGAATAATCGTCAGTCTTGACACTACCTACGAGTATACAGTGCAGGCTAAGCCTCTACTGTATCTCACAAATAAACTTCTCTGTGTCGAACATCACACTGCACCTTCCCAACTGGACAATAATTAAGATATAAATTTGAGCTGCCACCTGCAGTAACTTAACATGAACATCGCTAGATGTAGAATGGCTGGGTGGGATTCACCCCAGGTTTGAATCAGTCGTAAATGTCAACTGCAAGACCCTGCCTCCATTCCCCACTTGCGTTGTGAATCCCGCTTGTATAGACACGCCAATTTAATGCGATGATCCCTGTCAAGCGCGAGGGCCCCTACATGGGAATCCCGATATTTCAAATATTGGATGAATCTTTAAAATATAACACAAACCTAGTTAACCTAGGTCAACCTAGTTTTCAATCAAAGGAACTACCACACCCTTCAAAAGCAACTTTAAAAAATTCTAATTTTTTCAGATAATGAACAAAATCCTGTTTTACTATTTCAACCTTTTGCATCAAAGCAAATTTTGCTACCAGATGAAGTCAACTGCATGTTTGTTAAAACACTTCTCAGGATGTGCAAAGTGAACTATGAAGTGAAAGAAACATTGAATGCTGAAGATATGTCACCTTCAAGTACTATAGGTAAGTACTTATGGATATTGCAATGTGCTCGAAAGAGCAATCCTACCGAAAAGTGTCCAATAGATTCAGAGCTGTAATATGATAATTTGTTATTGGATTTTAGTAGCCTATTGGCTCTTATACTGATTAATACAAGCAGTAGGCCTACGGTAATGTTTACCAACCTTTAAATGTGAAATAGTAAATAATATTTTTTTTCAATCATCTACAAAATGAATACGGTAACTACAATAGGGATGGCAATATAATCTTTGTTTTTGTCACTTGTTATTGCTCAACAATATACTTTGGTTGAAATAGGTAACAGTATGCAGAACAATTGCCTAGTGTTGTAGTAATTTATTCCCCAATTTCGTCAATCTATAGTTGGGTTAAAATTAAAAACTTCAGAAATGAGAGAACATTTTTGAGTCCTGTGTTGTATTGATAAATAATTTTCAAATGTGATACACATAACTTAAAGTTAAAGCCGGCTCCAGACATGAGCCATTTGCAAAGCACGAAATATTTCATGTTCGGCAATCTAGTTGTCTTGCAATTCGCCAATTAACGACTAGACGTCTACATACATGTGTTGTTTTCCGAGCAACTGTTTGTTTACTTTGATGTGTGCAAAAATACCGACAGTGAACAGGAAAACACGAGCATGATGAACATATTTGCTGCTTGCCTAATAGACAAACACCACACTACCGTACTCCACACTACTCGCGATTTGGGGAGTCGCTGCCTTGTGCTTGGCGAATGGCGCAAGTCTGGAGTCGGCTTTTTACTGAAATGTTAGGTAAATGAAAGATTTTAAATTAACTTTTTAAATATTTTTTAGGAAAAGTTCCATTTCTTAAGTGTGGTACTATTCTAGTATCAGAGCTGGAAACGATAACAAGATTCTTTCAGGTAAGTTGATTTAATTTGTTTTAATGTGTTCCTGTATTGATTGCATAAGTATTTCCTAATTTCTATTTTCTACAGAGATTTTCATGCATATATTTTACTAGCTGTAACCCGCGGGCTTTGCCCCGTTTAACTTCTTAATTTTCAAGATTATCTCGTTTTATGGCTCAATCACGTCCTGGTTGAAGTTTGTTCGCTACGCTCACTCACCTTTAGGTTGGAGCTCGTTCGCTACGCTCACTCAACTATAGGTTGGAGCTCGTTCGCTGCGCTCACTTGCCTTCAGGTTAGCTCGTTCGCTACGCTAACTCGCCTCCAGGTTGAAGTTCGTTCGCTACGCTCACTCACCTTTTGGTTGCAAATTAGCTGTTTTCATAAATGTAAAAGAAATAATAGTGCTGCACCCTGTTGGTAATCCTTGTAACTTTAATGCTATTGAACATCATAGAACAGAACCAACTTGTTTAATTGAAACAGCTGTTAAGATTCAATAATTCCATTTCTCATAAGGTTAACATGGGAAACTCCAGAGCCACTGGGGCGGAGCCCGAAAGGATTTTTGAAATAAGAATATGCCTATATGTTAATCGGGAATGTGAGCTATCATCATGCCAAATTTCAGCCCAATCCGTCCAGTATTTTTCGCGTTCACTTGTCACAAACATACATCCATACATCCATACATCCATCCATCCAAACTTTCTCATTTATAATATTAGTAGGATCATATACAGGCTATAGATTTTGTTATTCCAATCAATAGCTCTGTGTGTTTTTTTAACAGGAATTATTTCTGAAATCATGGACCCTTAGTGTTTAATATTTGATTGTAAATAATTAGGATTGAATCAAATATACCTGCTACCACGGTACTTGGGTTAAAATAAGCACCTAGGTGGCGCACCCATCTCAAATAAATAATTTATAATAATTTGTCAAATTAATGTTTAAACACAGATTAAAACCCAGAATACAGATTAATAACTGTGGAATTTCATTACCTACTCCTATGCTGGTAGAAAGTACTATGTTGATAGACAAGATCGGCTTCTACATATTTTTTTTATGATCTTGGTGGAATCGGTGGTTACAAATAAAATCTCGATGATTAATAAGTTTTGCATTAATATTAACCAATTAAATAAATTCAGCCAGTAACTGATATAAGACTATATATTGACATCTTTGTTTTAAATTAGTTTAAAAAAGTATGCTAACTAATAGTTGAAAGTACAGTATGTTAAATAACACACAGTATTGAAACCAAAGAAATAATTATAATACACTCTTACTGTTTGTTTTGGTACACACTGTAAGATGAAATGCAGATGGGCAACTTGACTTCTGCACTGTTTTCATAGCAAGTTACAATGAAGCCATATGTATGTCTTGTAAGTTTATTTGATTTGAAAGTCCAGTCTTCCTGAAGATTGCACTCAGCATTGAGGCTGAAATGTCAGTGAATAGAAGTGTTTTCCCATGTAGCACAGATGGTTGGGCCAACGTTGGTAAATTGTGGAGCCACACAGTTGGCCAACGGTAGAAATGTCACCTCTTTAAACTGTTTTCCAGCCAACCATTGACCAACCGTTTTATTTCACACAAAATAATAAAGATTTAGTACGAAAAGCATAATTATTAGTTGAGTAAATTGATTAAATAGTTCATAAAAACAAATTTTGAAAAAAAGCTAGAACAAAATTTTTTGGCCCAGACGGGTCTTGAACCCGGGTCCTTCGACTTATGAGCCTCTTACTTTACCACTGAGCTATCTGTGATTGTTGATATAGAGAGTTTTCAAGTGGTGAAAGAGTAGCCGACAGTTGCAATGGTCGCAATGCTTCAAACATTTTTGATACTACACAGTATAATATGATTCTGTTAATCTGTTAAGGCATCATAAGTAATTTTTTTTTTTTTTTTTGGAGTTAGAGAGGATACTGGTATTTGAATATAGATTAATTAATTACTGTTAGATTATTAATGCTATTATAATTGCCTGTTATATGATTAATTACTCTTTCCCCTTAAATTGTTGCAAATAAGTTAAAGAATATTAATTTAAAAAATATTTGCATTATTATAATTATTAAAATTCATTGTTGTAGCCCCGGAGTTGTAATATATAAAATATCTGGTTTTACAATACCTTTATCAGTTCCAAAAACTTTTGGAAACTTTTGGAACTGATAAAGGTATTGTAAAACCAGATATTTTATTATAATTATGTTGTGAAAGCTAGACCCAGAGAATGAAAAGTCGTGTAAACTCAACTATGGACCATCGTTGGTCCAACAAAAGTATCTTTTGTTGGTCCAACAGAGTGAAAAACGGTTGGACAACGGTTGGCTTGATGTATGATACCCAGCAATGCATATTAATGTATTTCATTAACAATGAACCAATGTTGGTCCACAGTTGTAAATATTGGTTGGCCCAACTACGAGATATACAGTTGGACAACGGTTGGTTGGTTGTGGAAGCTCCAACCAACCATCGACCAACTGTCCCACAGTTGGCCAACGTTGGCCCAACCATCTGTGCTACATGGGTTGACATTTGAGAAACGGCCTACTATATAAGATGTGTTTGTTGAAGGGAACATCACCGTCAAGACACTTGGACGTTTCCTCACTCAATGACATGAAGGTGTACACTTCTCTGTTGACAAAGCTCTTTAATGCTGAGGTAGGTTTTTCAGTAGAACTTTTAGTGTCACAGTCACATAAAACCTGTGCAATAAAAAAAGCCAAGTTGCTTGAAGTTTGAAAGTAAGATTCTATCTGGAGTATTTGCAGTGATGGAAAGTTTTTTTGTAGGGATGGTCAAGTCTCGAAATTTCGGGATATTTTCGGGAAATTTTAAATCTCGTTACACGAGACGAGATTTCTTTTTGGCCGAGATTTTTATCGAGACGAGAAAAAAAAAAAAAAAAAAAAAAAAAAAATTAAAAACGCCTGCAGAAAGTCAATGCAATACCCGCAATACAGGAGCGTGTTGTAGTTGCGTTTCCTTTGCGAAGGCGTTCTTATTTAATTAATTCTTTAAATGTAAATATTACTTTAATTATTTTAATAATACAGTATTACTTTAATAACATTTGAGAAGTTTTGTTAAGTGTAAGCAGTGTGAGGAATGTTTTATTACTATAAAAAGTCAAAACAAGTAACTATTTTATAAAAATTAATATTGCTTTTATTTTATGATTTATTTTATTTTAGGATAAGTTGAACTCTATCCTAACTGATATCACTATGTTTCCTAATCATAGGCATTTTTAATAAGTTAGGCGTTATTAATAAAAAAATGTTATGCTGATTTTTTTTAATAAAAGGTTGTAAATATTCTTGCCTATTATCATTATTTTTGTATTTAAACAGTCATCTAAACAATGTTACAAAATCAGGTAAACATTTTGAACGTGCATTTCCCGTTGTGTATGAGAAGGGAAATCCCGTCTCGATCTCGTCTCGAAAATTTATGAGAAATAAAAAATCTCGTCTCGTCTCGTCTCGAACTAAAAATCCAATCTCGTCCATCCCTATTTTTTTGTTTGGTTGCCTTGAACACATGCAACATATGGGATGCTTCTAGGTTGCCAGAGCTGTTCTGGTAAGGCCGGACGCACTGAAGCAAGTGTTGCGAGGCAAAATGTTACGCTGGGTACGAGCGCTCCATGTATTTCAATAGGACGCCGCACACTGATCAAGCAAACGTTGTGAGGCGCCTCGCAACGCCTTGAAACATTTGAGCAGTTGCTCGACGAATGGATCCCATACAGCACCATGTTTGATGTTTCAAGGAGCAAAACGTTCTGCGCATGCGCCAAATCCCTTCTAGCTAGAAAATCTTAGGGCCCTTTCACACGAGGCCACTGGTGGCCGCCACCGGTGGCCGCCACTGGTTGCCCGCCACAGCTTTAACATTATTTTAAATGGGACCTTTCACACACAGCCACTGTAGTTGCCCGCCACTACACAGTGGCCGAGCAGTGTCTTCTCGCGCAACTGCTAGTCGGCCACCGCTGGCAACTGCAGTGGCGGCAACTCGTCGCGGGGCATTGAATTATATGGGAGCTTTCACACGTAGCAACCAGTGGCCGCCACCAGTGGATGAGCACGCAGCTATTTTGAATCAGTTCACGTGCAGACTGCAAAGACAAACGCACTATGGTTGTAGTTGTTGAGTGTTTTCGTGTTGAATTGTTTGTTTGTGAAAATGAGTGATCAGAAGAAAAATAAAGAGGACGTTGCTGAAAAAGAAAAAGACAAAGGAAAACAACAGAAGAAGAGAATAAACAAAATAATAGAAAACAAAGTGGATACTGATGATCTAATTTGCGAAATTGAAAAGTAACCGGCTATTCGGTATAGTACGCCTGTGTCTTTGCCTTATTTTCTTTATTATCAACGCGAGAAGAAGGAGATGTTCATTGTTCGACAGCATGTACAGCATTTCTACCAGTACAGTGGCTGTAGTAGAGTGGCTTGTAAGTTGCCTGTACCATCCACTGCAGTCTCCCGGCCGGTAACTGGTTGCGGACACCGGTGTCCGCCACCAGTGGCCTCGTGTAAAGGGCCCTTAGTGGCTTTCAAAATTCAATTGACCGTTTGTTGATTAAAAAATAACTCTTCTTTGAAAAATAAATTTTGAAGTTGCGTTAGCACTTAAATTTATATTTTGAATTTATATTGAACAATATTTTTGTTTAATTTTTCTTCCTACCATTTTGGTAGTCATACAGCCCATGCAAAGTAGTAAAATAATTAAGAAATTATATTACTCAGTTCATTTTAATCATTATTTATATAACCATCACGACACTATCTAATAATAATTTCTTACGGTTTTTAAAACCCTTCCTATAAAATAGTATAGCAATTATTCGACAATGATTGTAAAATTTCCCTGGATCTGATTTAATTTCTGAGAGAAAAGCTGTCTATCAACAGATTGATTGGGTGAACCCAATGTTGTCTTTCTATTTAGTCCAGCATTTTGCAAAAACTGACATACAGCAATAGTTGACTTCCTCGTCGCATAAGTTAAAACAATACTGTAGTAAGACCAGTAAACATAAGGTAATATGTAATTCTAATATTTATTTTTCTTTATTTTGCTTGAAACCAAAAGCTGAATCATGCTTGAACCTCCAGCACACTGGAGAAGCAAATAAAAAACGCTTCAAGCAAATCGTTGTGCAACATTTTGCTTCAGGTGAAATGCTGGATCAGTGTGCGCCCAGCCTAAACAATCAAACATACATCTCTACCAACTGGAGGGTGTTGATTGTTGTACAATCTGGGTTCTTAAAAGTAAATACCTTTTACATCCTAAACAAAAGTACTATTTTATATCAGTACTCAGGGTGTTAATTGCTTCAGAGGTCTCCATAGCTTGACTGAAATAAATGCTATGTGTTTAAGAACAATCTCCAACACACAAATGATGGCATGTTTTAACAGTGTATTTTTAAACCTTTGTTGTCGTTGCATGTGTTCTTGAGTATGTACAATGTTTGTGTCACCCTTTTTTCCTTTTCACCATTTTGTGTTGCATCTTCAGGGTATCTTAATTTATCTTTTTATCAATAACACTATAGTTATAGTACCTACAACATTTACGTAGGGTTGATCAGACAACACGACGAGGTACATGCAGTGGTCTCACGGTGGGAGGTCTTTCTTTCTTCCTTCTTGACTAAGGTAGTTGGTTTTGGGCTGTGTGTCAAGTTAAGGGCAGAACTTCCCTGGTTGATGGTCTGGCGGGTGCTTTGATCTTTCAAGTGTTGCTAGTTTGTCAATGTGTTTCCGTGTTGTTTTGTTAGTTTCAATGTTGTGTATTAAGTTGAAAATTTTAGAGCTCGGGTAGTCACAGTGAATTTCTCTATGTAAGTAGCTATTAGTGATGGTCAAAACCAGACATTTTGAATCTCAAAACCGAAACCGAAACTTAAAAAAATCTAATCCCGAATCTTGAATTGAACCTAAACGCGAAACTCTTTTACTTGTTAATGTAATGTAATGTGTAGGTAAAGGTGCTACAAAGGTTATTGTTACCAAAAATACAGGTAATGATAAAATTCAAAACAATATATCTATCTATCTATCTATCTATACTATTATAAAGAAGAGGTGGTGTCTGTGTGTGTATGTGTGTGTTTGTATGAGCTAATCTCAAAAACTACTGAACCTATTGGGCTCAAATTGCACACACATGAAGCTACAGTTCCGAGGATACATATAGAACTATTCCCGCTTCAATATTGACCTCGGGCTCTGCCCCGTGGGCTTTCAAAAATCGGAGGTGAGAGATTTCAAAGTAAATTTTGATTGATGGTATCCATGACAACAAAGAACAAACCTACAAAGTTTAAAAATGTAAACAAGCAGTACTAACTGTCAAATTAATTTTGATTTCACAATTCCATACAGCTGGTTCAAACATTCATTTAAATACTGCATGAATATTAGAACAGAGAGGGTAAGGATCATATTTAAAATAATGATGTCACTATTCTGAATGTAAACATTATTTAACATTACTTAAATGGAGCTGTCAAACCATACGCTAATGTCACTTTATACTTACATGCCAACCCCGTACGAAGGACGGGTACTCTGCTAGTTTTTTTATAAACAACTAACATAAACATGGATATTAAATTATTTGGAACATGGGGTCAATATTTCTTTGAGTTTAGTTAACATTATTATGAAACAGAATTGTATGTTCTTCCAGTTATTGAATTTAAAATTCCTTTTGAAGTTCAGAATACAATTTACTGCTTTCATCACTGTTAATGGTAAATCTATTTGCTCTATTGCTACCAGCTTATGTGGAATCAGTGTTAAAAACAATAATAATGATGCAAATTCCTGTGTATTTTTGTTTAGGCGGGTGTTCAATCAATGCATAGGGTGACACAGACATCTTACCTACTCTAGAACACAGGCAACGACAATATAATCTAATATAAACATAGTTTTGATGTAACCTAGTTAAACGTGGATTCTGTTGCAGCTGTACCTATGCTGGATGGATGAAAGAATCTTCACAACTTACACCAAGGTGAGGAGTGGCTTCAAGCGGCCTTTTCCTCTAGACTGGGTGCTCACCTCACGGAAGTATAAGCAAGTCTCCAAATATCTCGACCGCTTTCATTTAACCACCGGAGAGGTTTGTACATACTACTGGGTTGCGGCCTGGTCTGTGCCACGGTTTGCATGTGACTGCTATGGGCGTGAGAGTTAGTTGCGCCCTCCTTCTGTTAGGGTGACTAGGCCTGGTATAATAGTAAGAAAATTTATCTCTTGGCTAAAATATTGCCAACACTATTGTTTTTTTTTACAGTTAAATTAAAAGGTGTCTTCCCCTCAATACTACTCAATATATTAATTTAGCCCACACTTAATTCCGTAACTATTTACAAGAGAGTATCCTAAATGTGCTGTTGCCGGATGATTCGATCAGGAAGTCTTGCCATGACTCTGCCGCGTGTCCACTGTAGTTTTGTCCGATCGACCCAACTGCGATACTAGTGACGGTACAAGTGTAAATATTTTTGTTAATGCAATACTATAATGTTAGTGATACATGAGTAAGAAGACCCCTGAAGATGCCACACAAGGTGGAGAAATTCATAGGGTGTGCCAAAGGCATGGATTTGATAAATTATTAATAAATGGTAGCTGATTGAATTTGATTTTTGTTTTGGACTCATAATTGTTGCAATAGAATAAAAGTTACTAGTCCTGAAAATAAGTGTTTACCGGACGTCGAGTATGGGATTACCATACGAGTCTGGTAAACACATTTTGGACGAGTGACGTACGATAGTTTACGCTATAGGCCTACTACTAAATCTGTTCAAATCTTTATAAATTACCACCAACTAAAGGACTAACAATCACTAGTCATAACCTCTAAGAGAGGTTATGTTTTTTTTATAACCACTCATTGCCACCCAAATACAGTATAATCAGCTGATTGGTGTCCGATAAAACTCATTACAGTACAGTAGTACGCAATGACACCCCATTTGATTAAGCTGGCGGCAAACAGCTGTTTTCTGAACTAAATCCTTGCATGGGAAGTTCGTCAAAATAGTGTAGTGTGGCGTAAAAAAAAATTAAACTCAAGTATTTTAGTTTTATCAAACTTAAACTCGCAAACTTAACAAACTTTACTAACACCAACTTCAATCTTCCTAATCAACATATTGTGATTATAAACATCTTACAAAGAAGTCACAACAAAGGTAAATCTAATACTAGTTCATTTATTTTATTCCACATACATTACTATACAAGTGCGGATTGCTATACCTTTTTTGTTTCTCACACGGGTATCGTAATCTTAAGCTGAAACCCACAGTCGTGTTACTCTTGAAGGTTATCTAAATTATTTAACCTTAATTTCTAGGCGGTTTTTCAAGTGGATAAATGCTGCAAAACACTTTCAACTAGACTTGGCTACGAAAAGTATTTCTTCAGAGACCAGTAAGTAATAAAATAGTTACAACCATTTACCCAGAGATATAAAACCTGACTGCCACAGAAAAACTTTCTGACAACCATGAATTCTGCGCTTAAGGAAGTAAATATCAATGGAGGTGTAACTCAGAATTCTTAGTGGTATCAGTAATCAATATTACAAATGTAAATGTTTGGATGAATACTATTCAATCACACCAGTTGTTTTTTTTTTTTTTTTTTTATAAAACATTTATTTACCTTTTGAAAGTCTAAGACATAAAGGTCAAGAATAGACTATGTATCATGCATAGTTTTTCAGAGTGTTCCATCTTTTGTTGATAAAACTGGTAGATACAATCGTTATAACTCTATGTCTACAATTAATTGTCTATGTACGTAAAATGTTGATGTTTTCAGGGCTACAGAGTTGGATGCGTTGGTTTTTGCTCATGTCCACACAATTCTGTCCTCCACTCCTACCTTCAGTAAGATTGCTGATGTCGTCAAAACCTACCCCAATCTTGTTGACCACTCGTTAAGAATTCATGAAGAATTTTTTAGTGGAGCCAATACCAATACCACCTCACTCAAAGTTGTTACAAAACTGATTTGAAATTTCTAATAAACAACCAAATACTCGTTGTTATTTACATTTCTTTATTTCCAATCAAATTTGAGATTCTGTAATAATGTAAGATTATATTATCCTGTCAAGCAGCTCAACGTTAAGTTGTTATTACCAAGATATAGTGATACTAATCAAAAGTCGATTAGGATGACGTGTAGGGAAGGAGGAGGGAAAGTCTAACAATACAGAGAGTCACATCAGACACTGGTGGTATTTAAATAATCCAACAACAATTAATTGTTGATAACGTACAAAAGAAAACGCCGAAAACGGTGATGGAGGTGGAAGGGTCTCGCTCACCACTAATTGACAACATCTATAACAACTAATTCTATATTATACTAATTGTTTGATTGAGTAACTTAAAAGTCTTTTTCATCACTCCGTAACGAAAGTAACTATTTTCGATAACAGCTGACATCAATGAAAGTAGTCGTTTCCCAAGCTCTAATTTAGGGCGAGGGAAAATCGATCAGCTGATTTTCCCTTGCTCTAAATTTACTTTCCCTCGCTCTCAATTAGTTCTCCATTTATTCTCTACGCGCGCTAGTGTTTTGTTACGGTTTAATTTAATGATTTGAATCAGCTGTATGTATTGTTAAAAGTTGTTTTATTCTTTTATTTTCATGTTTAAACAAAATTTATTGAGAAATATTACGTAGGTTTCCTTTAAGAAGATTTTATTTCGTTTTGATGATGTTCAATCGTGAAATTGAACACACCTTGTACGTGAAATTGGGGTTCCCTGTGTTCGGCTTCACCTCACACAAAAACTTAAACGTGCGACGGAAAATGCCACTTTCGGTCCTAGTAATGAAATATACTATTTTGCAGTCATAAATAAGCAAAATGCCCATAGCTAAATTCATATTATCTTGCCTTTATTGGTAGCCTTGACGGTGAAGTATTAGTCTTACCACAAATATTAAAAAAGATTTCCCAATGTAACAAGCACTGGTCTTATCGGAAGATATGGTGAGCATCAAGCTAGATTACAACACAAATTTGTTTGCATCAGTTTATATTTATTTTTACTGAGCCCTGTTACAATATGGAGTAAAAACTAATACTGATAATAAATTCAGACACAACATTTTAGTTCTTGTAACAGAATAATACCACAAAATGAGTGAGAGTGTAATTTGATAGTATCTCGTCTAAACTCTTATATAGCTAATGTGCTTAGCACAATATAAAATTCATAAAATAAATCTACGCAATCAAAAAATAATAACAATGTGGCACAAATAACATGTTGCGGCAGTTTTCATTCCAGATGAAAACGCCAGCAAATACACTTTATTATGTATAATATTTATATAATATTTATACTTTAGTGGTTTCGGAATCTATACGTTTATACGACAGTGATGGTCCAAGTCTGTGGTTCAGGTTCGGATGAAGAGTCACACATACAGAATGAAACTTTGGGCTTATGGGTTTTTACAGATTATTGGAAACACCTTGTTTGCTTTTGTAAACACGATTAAGCTTCAGTGTAATTTTACACTTTAGCCTTGGGCGTTCCCGAGAAAACATGTTTTTCACTGTTCAAATATGTAATTTGTAAATTTAATTTATTTATAATAACTTGGTTAGGAAAAGTCTTTGAAAACACAGATGAATTCTTAGGGTGTGATGCCACCTAAATAGGGCCTTATATAGAAGTTGATTGGGCGCCAGGAAATTAGTTAATAACTTAATGATAAAGTTCAACCCTTGGTGTAACTTGGATCAAAAATAGATTACATTATTAATTTCACATCAGATAAGTAGAAATAAAAAAAAAAATGCAGGGTTATTCTCATGACCAACATCTTGCTTCATTGCAATTGAATTAAAGGATTAGATTAAAACCAAATAACTTTGAAAAGGAGGTATTGAAAATATTTTAATTTAGTTATGAAATTTCTGGTGGAATAGCTACTTGTTAGTAAACAAATCTAACTTACCTAATTAAAGATCGAGACTTGTAAAATGAACTGCAAAGGGAAAATATAAAGCTATGTCAAAATTTTACCAAAAACGCCTTTATACAAATGAGATGTCGAGCAAAACAATCAAGAGAGCATGAAACATGCATACCTACCAGTACTTTGGTAAAAATTAATTTAGTACTAAACTTCACTAATGTTCACAAATGATGTTCACAGGTAATATCAAACACTGATTATCTTTTAGCTGTGCACAATTAAAATCTAGTGCTGCATTAATTGTGACCAGGGTGCTTCAGTCGTTTGCTGGGAAGTTTACAAACTTAAGTTCAAATAAAATATAATTTAGTCAAGGTTGAGGGTTTTCTCCACCCTAAAATGTAGTGTGAATAAGGTGTGAGCTCAGAACTGGAATACAAAACAACACTGTATCATTGCTCAACACCTAGGATTTTGGCCAAATTGAAAAACTACAAAAGTAGCCACCCACCACAATACGCAATTTACCACCGTGTCTTTCCAGGTTTGTACTCCCAGGGCACTTACACTAGATAGGCGGACCCACGAGTAACTCACATTACAATTTTGGTTGAGGAAGCAACAAGGTGTTTTTTACCGTATCGACGACTAACAGTGAAAGGAAACGAACATAATGGCAGTTAACACAGGCCCGGAGCCCTAGACCAGCTGGGGCGGGGCCGGTGATTAGTGGGGACGAGAGGGGAAGGTCACCTCTCCGTCAGGTCAAACGTGAGACCGTTGTTGTCCGCTAGTCCGTACACAGGCGGGGGCTCGGGGCCGGGGCTATCTGACGACAGCTGGAGAGTGGTTAGTGTGCGTGAGCCTTCCATTGCCAACACTACACGCTTGCCCCCGGCCGTCACCTCACAGGCGGTGATGGGACGTTTGGGAGTCCACACTGCACTCAGCTCACCTGCAGATCAAGAATATCACTTGATTCTTCTATGGATATACTCCAATTCAAAGGTAATCATTTGCGTTAAGGAGATTTAGGTTATTGAAGCAGAATTAGCCGGCACACTAGTATTTAAGACTTTATCATAGCAATTTACCGGTAACCCAGCAGAGTTGTATGTCTCTGTTGACTATAGAGCTAGACATTCCATCCCCTTGTTAAAGTTGTCACCAGTGTTTAAATTAAAATGAAATTAGTTGAAGTGAGTCACCAACAAGCTGTGCTGGGCTGATGTAAATTACAGATTTCTCTTGAATGTACAGACTTTTTAACCATTTTTCAACACAAAACCTTAACTATCAAACAGTAAAACCGTTCAATTTTAGTAGTTTTAAATGAATCAGCAATGGTTTGAAAATAATTTTTAAGTAGATATTAGCTTCTTGAATACTTAAAGGTTCTCCGCTGTCTAGCATTGGTAACGATTTAATTGCGTCTATTTTATATTAACATTTTACTAGTTTCTTCTTGACAAAGTATTGACTGACTTCAATCCACTTGCATTGCTGTCGTCATAATTTATTAATATGTATAAAATATAGTTGTTTAGCCTCCGGATTACTGTATTATACTTAAAATGGTTTACAATACCTGCATATAGTAATCCTTTGTTGCTGTTTTGGCAACTAGTTTCGGTTCATTATTGAACCATCTTGCCACCTTGAGGCCTGAAGATGGTTCAATAATGAACCGAAACTAGTTGCCAAAACAGCAACAAAGGATTACTATATGCAGGTATTGTAAACCATTTTAAGTAATATGTATAACATAAGAATAATTTTAGTTATTGAATTTTGCAAGAAAAGTGTTGCTATTCCATACAAAAATACTTAACAACAATCTAAGTAGGGACTTAAAACATGACAAAATTGATTCACACTAAATAAACGCAAAAAATGTATAACACGAGAAAAAACAAGAAATTAAATATCCCAGACGATAATTATCTGCGGAAACAGACCCTTCAGTAAAATAAATCAAAATCTGTGTGACGACTCACACACCTAGCGAGCAACATTTCGGAGGCGTTGACTGACCTGCGACGAGGTTCCACAGCCGCAGTGATCGGTCGCGGCACTCAGCGTCCAGCGAGAGAAAGCAACCTCCACATGGGTCCAGCCTGAGACTGGTGACCGGAGCACTGTGGCCACTCAGGCGCCATCTGCAGTTGCCTACAAACATCAATCAAACAGCTCTGTCAACATTTCACTTGAGCAATTAAGTAAGTAAGAGGTGAATAAATAAAAATGTATTGAGGCGTTTCTCTGGTATGGATAGTGCCAATAGAGCGGCAAGCGTGATGCGCAGGCACACAAGAACCCTTCCACAACCAATGTCGCTTTTGCTATTTTGTACAGTCATATCAACAATTAATGGCTGTTGGATTTATTTAATACCACTACAGCGTCTACTTTCGGTACTTGCATCTGCATGCCCTTGCCTTCTCTCTCCCAAACACCATCATAATTAATAGACATCTAAATCTACACCAGATTTTCAAAACAATTGTTGACAAATCGTTTAATAGTGAAAATAAAAATTTGCTATCAAAATCTCTTTTTAATATTGGTTTAAATTAGACAGAGCTCAGAATAATGTTATGGCTTAACGTTTGTTAGTGTTATATGACTAGATATTGGGAAACACTGCAGAAGCTGCATTCGATTTTTAAAACAACCCCAGATGAGCAAATAGCAATGTGGTTGATGTTGATGGATCTAGATATGTGGTCTGCCTTAAAAATCAACCCCCAAATTTTATGCAGCATCAACTATCACAGGAACAAAAACTAATTGTGGAAAAGATGATCTAAGACTGAAGCACTACGGTACACTCTGTGAATATATTAAACTGTGTTTTTTTATAAACAAATTGACTACAGCTGGTCCACCTCAGTATCCAAAAGTGAATAGTTTTACTGACCTGTTATCAAGTCCCACACCAGTATCTTGCCATCCTCCAGACCGCTGAGTACACAGCCGTCCTTGGACGAGATGTCCAGAGATACGGTGTTGACAGAAGGCTTCCACTTCTTGAACAGAGTCCCTGACTGGAGATCGTAGACGACGATGAAGTTGGGGCTTGGTTCATCCACCTCCTACAATGTTAAGTTTTGATAAAAATTATGTTGATGATCCTGACAATCCGCAGTTAAAATACTAAACCTGATTAACAATGATTGGATATTACAGAGTACGTACAGCTGGACTTATGATATTGGACAAGCAATAATTTTTTTAAATGGTTGCAATAAATATTTAGATTAAACAATTTTTAATGTGGGTTAAACAAGGAATACAATAACAACTATATCCCCCTTACATTAAACGAACCGAGACATACTAAACAATCTTTTTCAACTAATCCGTCAACATTATAAATCCTTAGCGGTGCGTTTAATCAATGTTTTACATGTTGAGAAAATTCGCCATTTAGTCTTAATCGTTACACATTTATCAATAGGAATAATCAATAAAAATGTACATTTTTTTGTAACTTAATACATGAACTATAATCTTATTATGAAGGTTGTTAACTAGCTAATGAGAAAAGTATGTGTCAGTTTGCTGATACCGTTTTTTATGTATATATATATTTATGTCACTAGTCTATTTTTCTCATATAAAACTAGGATAGTTTACTGGGTACCGTACCTTGGCTACACAGCACACATAGTGTCCTTCGTATGTAATGGCCGCTAGGGTGGTGATGAAATCATGATGGGGAATGCGCAAGTCGTACAACAGCTTACGAGAGGCTAGGTTCCACACCAGCAATGGGAATGGCTTTTGAGTCTCGTCCCCACAGACTAAGACCCTAAGAGACAAATTAGAAACCTCTTATCAAATTGCCTAAATAAAGGCAAACAGGTTGAACTTTTTAATAATAATTTTACCGTGTAGTAAAAATCTTCTAGTACGTAGGCTCTTTTTTTGAGTCCTGAAATTCTATATTTTTATTATTAAAGTTGTTGCTCGTTATCCAGCTTGTACAGGACTTTGGCAGTTATTGAAAACACCAGGTTACCGGTACTTTATGCCTTCTTATAAAGCTGTTGTTATGAGATAAGCAGAAATATTGCTGATGAGTAATTTTAGAGTGTCAAAATAAATTTGTTGGTCTGTGGGCCATTGTAACTTTGCCGATTGCTACTGACAAGTCAATCGCTCCCATCTGCCAATAGCACCCGACTCTACTGAAAGCGCTTATATGGTTTAAAAGTTTAAAACAGCATTACAATTTCTTTTTAGATCTTTAGACCTACTGTATGTCAGATCATTGAAGGTATCGGGCGATTGGATGCTCTAGGTGGCCGTCCAAACTAAACATGAGGTTGTCTACTGTATTTTTTATATTATATATTTTTTATTATAAGACCCAATATAAAAAGGCCTATATATAAAAACATGTTTATATCATACTCCAACACTCACCTCCCATCGCCAGAAACCAGCAAGGAGTTGAGAAACCGGTCTTCTCCGGCTTTGAACGTTGTCACAAGATCTCCGGTTTCCAGGTTCATCAAGTTGACATACATGCGGTTGCGAGACAAAGCCACCAGGTGATTCGAGTCATGCAAACCAAAGTACGGCATCTTCTGGTTCATAACACCTGCAAATACAGGGTCTTACAATGTATTTGCAGATGGAAACATGTATGTAAAACATTTGCTGGAATGTCGATAAGGTAATTTTGTAATTGCAAATGCAAAAGAAGTTCATAATCTTGATAGTGCTGAAAAGGTTCAGTGATGAATTTGCGGAATTGAACATATAAAATAGAAGAAATTGTTGTTACGTCTAAACCTGAAATTGAAATACCTGTATTTTCTGTCATGGGGTGGAAATGCTGAAAAAATCGAGATGAACTAACATAATATTTATTCTTTTTACACTGCTTATCCAGTACAAAATGCTCTCAAGCAAAGGAGGTTAATAAGGTGATAACTGGTGCATAAAACCGTTGAATTTTGGATACAAAATTGTGTCAAGTACAACCTCCTGTTTATTCTCAGAGTTTGTGAATGCTAATACAATATCATTTAAATCCTACCTTTCAACTTAGTCAAGAGAGTTCCAGTATTCAAATTGTATGTGCGAAGTTCTCTTTTACACAACACTACACATCGAAAGTCATCTATCATTTCTAGGTTGATAGGCTGTGGAACTCCTTTTAACGTTCTGACTCTGACGCACCTGAAATATAAATTACTTGAGTACATATTTATGTATTGAGATAGTAGTACAGTAAACATTACTCTCTTTATAATGGTGTGCAAATAAGTAAAGTGTCTTTTAAACAGTATGAACAGTATACATTTGAAAAACAACATCAGCTTGAACAAATTAAGTTTTTGACAAATAGGTCTGTTCTGATATTTTTCTTAGACGACTTACGTGTCAACATCCCAAACTGATATCTCTTCTTTCTCCGTTGCTATGGTAACTATAAAGTTTGGGTTTTTTGGTAATCGGATGATCATGTCTAGACATTTGTCAGTGTCTAAAATCTCATTCCCCTCATCTGTAAAAAACAAAATGTTTTATTCAGCTACAGGAAATTTTATGTTGTTATTTAATTTTTTGGGGGGTTTACAGGTTAAGGAAGTCCTTTTTCTATGTCAAGAATCAAGAAAAAAAGCTTAAAACTTATAATTTTTATTTTTTGTTGTGAATGATAATCTTAAATTGAAAACCAAGGCATCTGTATTTACAACTTTATTGATTTCAGAAGCTCTTAAGTCTTAACCATAGTCAATGGTCTTAACCTCACCCACCTGTTATTTCTTCTCGCACAACAGCCACAAGTGAAAGGATTGGTGGCTTTTCTATAACACTTTTCCAGTTCTTGTAAAGCCCAACTGTAGAAGTGATATCACTAAGAAGACTGTACAGCTGTCTCCCATCATACGCTAATGATCTCGCGTTGTCTTCCAAAAAGCTTCGCAGCCACTTCAGGTCTTCTTTGTGTTGACTACTTTTTTCCTCCAAAATGATGTCCTCCAAAACCTGACGACAGATTTTTGATCAAGTTTACAAACTCTGTAGTGCTTGCAAAATCGATTAAGCTGATTGGTTAGTGAACAAATGTCGGAAAACATCTGAGGAGAAACTTGGCAAAGAGCAGATGAGGGGAATTAGAGTAAAGAGTAGTTGAAAAGAAACTTGGTAACAGAAATAGAGGGAGATAGGAAGTGTGCTAAACTCACCTGGTATACAGAAACTCCACATATTTTGCTGTAGAGCCACTCATGATCCTCCAGATACGACCACAGAGTTCCTGACGAGTGAAACTCCTGGAATGGCAACTCCTCTAGTTTACGGGTATTGTACCTGCAAAATAGGAAATTAGTTAAAGGAAAAGGCGTTCAGATGTATAAAAACACGAATAACTTTTACCATATAACAAGTCCTGGTATTGTCAATGCCTCACTAGATTTCTGATGATTTTATTTTTTTTTTGTCCTAGGACGCTAGGCACAAGCCTGGGATTGTTTTTCACATTACTTGAGGCTAGACCTAGGGGTTGCGGCATTATCACTTAGATAAAATCCATTGGTGACTTGGCGGGGATCGAACCCAGGACCTCAGGGACTGAAGTCCCGTGCTCTAACCACTACACCAGCTCGCTCCCCAGATTTCTGATGATAACTGTATTGTCCATACCAGGTGCTAAACTAATGTTAAAATTTATCACCATTTCCTATTCCTATTTCCCTGTGTTATTTCCTTAAATTCTTATTAATTTCAATTAAAATGACAAAGATAGTATAGAATAACACAGCTACTTTAACATAGCTTACCCGTTCCCAATTTTAACAGCCTGAGTATAATGCCTTGCAGAAAACTTGTCCTCCTTCTGCTTTGACATTTCGGTCTGAAAGAATATTTAAGGTGATTAATTGTTTACGGTAATTTTTAGCAATCCATTCATGTACATTTGCAAGAAAAGAGAGAATATGAAAGGAAAATGTGAGAGGAAGACTCAGGAGTAGATGAAGAGGGATGCAGAGAAGAAAGGAGTGTAATAAGGAGCTGTCTAGTCTAGTTGCAAGATGCAAGAGTGATTGAAATGGAAGAGAAGAGAATATGGGCGTGATAGAAATGAACACAATAAAGAAATCTTAGGTTTGCAGAAAAAGAGTCTGTTACAGTAGCTGGTTGTCATAAATTGCCATTGAGTGCCATTCTAAATAAGAGTTACAAATTATACAGTTTTTTGCAGAGAATGACTGCAGGTTCCACTGTCTATATGTTGTGAAAATAAAACGAATATGAGAAAGCTATAAAATCAAGGTATAAAAAACTGTGATAACCTGTCCCAAAATTAGGTCTAAACTTTGTTAACTTACTTACTGATCAGAAATCTTTTGGATGTACAAAATTTGAAGTGTCAAAATCACTATGAGGATAATTTATTACCTGATTGAAATTAGCAAGTGTCTTTTAATAACTCTGATTAAAAAAGATATCTTGATTCTTTATCACAGTTTTACGTTAAAATCTGTATGTCAGTAGCCTTATTACAACGATGCAAGATGTTACATACCTTATAATATTGAATGAGCATGTTGCGCGCGTGAGGGAGGTTTGCGTTGTAGCGCTGAGAGATGTGGTTGCGTACAGTCGCTGTGCGCCACTGTAGCACACATGTGTCCTGGACAGGGACCCACTGTAGGAACGGACTCAACTGCTTGTTGAGACGAGCCCAGAACAGGCAGGCTGGCGCCCACGCCACTGTACCAACAATGATTGCTTGAATATTTTCAACATTTAAATTTGTAAATACTGTAGTTAAATTATAAATGCAAAAAATAATTTATTTCAATTCAAACATTACACTGATATTTTGTCATTTTGACATTTGAATTTTAAATATTCAAATGTTCATGTGCTGTGATTCTTTTAAAGTTTTGCCTATTTTGGATCTTTTACAACTTAATTTTATACTTTTTCAACAAACAAACAAAACATCCATAATTTGTTTGGTGGGTTTTCTTTCAAATGAATCTTACCATAAGTGTCTTTGCTGTGGAACACCTCAGTAAAGGCAAGAAGGTCGAGCATTTCTGAATCTGTCAGTCCATATTTTGCTGAGGACAGGAGACCGATAGCCAATGAGACCTGGGAACAACAAAATCCATTGACAAATAAAGCAGGGTAAAATAAAATGTCATGCAGGTTTTGACTTTAAGATTACGACAAGTGCTTCAGAGATTTCCAAAGCCTGAAGATAATTTAATTTTCATGATTGGCATATATGATATTCTGACTTATAGTTGGTTTTTTAATCCAATTTGTATGATTGTCAACTAAAACAGTAAAAGCGACTGCCTCATAAAATTACCAACTAATAGTGGTCTTAGTGCAGTAAGATTAGTTTTTACGTAAATGTAGATCTCTCACCATCAAGACATTGTTTCTCAACATAGTCATTTTAATATTATTCCGTAAACAAATTTTAAAACATATAAAAATTTGCAAGCCACAAAATCCTTGTACAATTGACATAATTCACACAGTTCCCATTGTGTGGGCAATCCGTAGGGGTTTCAATCCCAAGGCTTCAATCCAATCTTGGGATTTTGGGATTTGTCCTAGCCGATCCTGGGATCCCGAGATTGAGACCCCAAGTTTGCTAAATTTCTCCTCACCTGCTCTTTGCCTAGCTTCTCCTCCAGCTGAGACAGCATGACTGACAGTTGCTGGTCAACCTTCCCCTGAGGTTCTATGTTGTGTTCCGTGTCACACCAAGATGTCTGCCACGCCAGTACCTGAACACCATAAATAAATGCAGCTGTAGTATATATAATTCAATCTAACCAGATTTAAAAATGCACCTGAGGTGTACTTTGACACTTACCGCAGATGGTGAATCATTTCAGCTTTGAGATACTTCTGTGGTAACCCATGTGCACTAGGTGATTTGAACACAGAAATTGACTGAGCTTATGACTGAGAATTTTGCAAACATCATCGTCGTCTCCAGCGATTGCAAAAAATAAAAAAAATCTTGAATATCTTCAGCAGTCTTGTATACATCATTATCGTATACTGCAGTCAGAGTACCACCTTCGTTTCCCGCGACAGCGGCAAAATCTTGAACATCTCCTGTGTCTTTTAGATAGTATAATCGTCTCCTGCGGTCACGAAATCATCATGGTCCTCCACAATCATGGCAAAAGCGTGAATTTTTCAATCACAACATATTTGCACTCTGCCATCGGGATTGTAAAAACTCGGCTTTGACTTGGCCTATATTATATAAAATACCCTCTAATTCAGAAAAAATCAACTACAGTATCTAAATTTTTGATCATCTGAATGTAGTTTGGTCTCTATTGATAACTGGAATTCTACCGCAGTAACAATAACCAATCTCTAGGAGGATCTACCTTGACGTAGAGTGGAAGAGTGCAAGCTTTGACAGAAGTGACAACACACTCCTGAACGTGACTGTTGACACTGTGGTTATACTCCATCACCGAAGATAACAGAATACTCTCCGCCTCCGCCTTGTCCAGATCAGGAATCTACAACAGTGATAATCACAATAATGGTTTACTTTACATTATAATGAAAACGTTGAAAAGTAAATCTTGACAATGAAATTGTAGCTAAGCACCCTAAAGCCAGATCCTATTCCAAGATCAATCACACATTATCCCACAGTGAGATATGTTTGGCAGCAATCGATTGAACCTCACAATGAAAATAACCAAAGAACACTATTAGTAAACAGACAGAACGTCATAAGTGGTTTCAACTTATCTGGTGAGTGAAACAAGTAAAGTACATATGGTTACACTAAAAAATATGTTCACATGAAAGTAAAGTATAGTTGTGGCTTTCTTTTTGTTGTAACCGTACACAAAAACTACTACATTGTCAAGATAATTTATCGTTACTACTTACTATGACTATATATCTACAGTAGAATGGACATTGCTCTACAATCATGAAAAATCCCTTATATAAACTGAAAAATGAAAATATTGTTTTGTGCATAAAAAAAAACTTATGGTAATCAGTAAATTATTTTGTAAGATAAGTTAACTTATAGCATTATAGCCACTAAAATTATAAATTTTTATTATAGTATTCCATCAATACAGTGAAAAAAATATTGTGTATTTAAACCTGAATAATGAGTAAAGGATGTGTCTAGAATGAAGTGAGATTAAAGCTTCGTAACTATAACTACTGCCATGGCCATTTGTCAAAGGCCTAATAGCCAAAGGATAGATGGGTCCAGTTTTAAACCCCAAAAGAAGCTACTAACTACTCTTGGGATAAAGTAGGCATATCTGATTATTGCTATGGAGGGCTGGATAGTGCATACATCTAGTATGTTGTACAACACATTCATGAATTCAATACCTGAATGAAAACTCCAGAAATTCCGAGTCTGGTCTTCATTTTTTGCAGCAATGCAATATCCTGAGAGATAGAGAGGATAATTTTCACATTTTGCGGCAATGGAGAAGGCAGCCAATCAACTCCAACTGTTCCATACTCTTGAAGCTGAAACAAAATACAGAATAAAAACTCTATAGTGGCAGTATGGAAAACAAATTATAAACTCAGGAACTTAAATGATTTTCTGTCAGTGGTAAAACTGTGAAGGTGGTTGAAACAACTGCATTGAAAAAACAAAATTTCTAAAGGGCCATGGTTAGAAAATATTTTTTTACAGCTGAAGGGATTATGAAGTAGAAACTGGTAGAGTAGAAGCAAATTTTGATAGGATACATTGGTGGAAATTTGTCAATGAAGTTAAAAACTCCCTTGCGGTTTGTCTATTTACTTAGTAAGTTACCACTTGTAAGTGAAACTGATAGGTAAACAATAAGGTTATGAAGTTAGATTGACATATCTAATTTTAAATGTGATTCCATTACAAAATAAAAATAGGTGTAAAGAATATTTAGGTCATAGTGTTGGGACAGAGAACATGATGTACTGGAAAGAGAATTTGAAGTAACCATGATTAGAATAAATTAAAAGTTTTCATCACCTATATTATATACTGTACATACAAATGTAAGAATATATACCTGGTCAACACCATCAACAATGATAATGATTGTGCGTTGTAGCGATGCCGTCTCCAAAATCTTTGGTAAATGTTCTGCGTAGGTTTCAACATTCTGAAATTCAACATTTCAAATTAAAATAAAGTCTAAAGGCATTTTAGTAATACGATTAATGATTCAAACAGAGATTAAACAGACTTGGTAGCTTTTTATGGCAAAAGTAGGATGTGTGATGTTCACTCATGAAATCCAATGGTTACTGGCATGACTTCAATCTGGAACTTAAGGACCAAAGCCAGCGGTCTACCACTAGACCTGTTCACTCCTTACGATCAGACTTTTGATATCCATGGAAGCAGACTAGACTGCTTTAATGCAAAATCTAAAAGGGGTTTGAGCAACATACTGTCAGGTACTCACATGCCTAAGCCACACTTGTGAACCGGTGCTCAGGATGGAACACTGTATGGTGATTGTGCGCAGAAGCTGTTCTAGTGTGGAGCTCTGCGGAGAGATGTTGGCCGTCCTGACCACTACTGCGCAGTCTGGCAACCAAGAGTGGCAACACTGCGCAGCCCGGGCTAACAGAGTCGTCTTACCACAACCCGGGACTCCATGCAGCACTACGGTCTTACCGTTTGATGTTTCTCCCAGAACATAGCTGGAACAGTCAATACACAACTATGTTATAATTGAGTTATAAGTTATAAGTCTTTTCAGATATGTTTAGTATTTTCCTTCTTCAGGACATAAGGCAAGGAACTTAAGCCTTCTTTGCTTTAACCTTTAAAATTTCATAAGTTGTGGGACTGAGTGGTTATCATATAAAGCTGAATGGTTCTAGTGCTCGCCTACTAATTTAGAAAGTTGCCGGTTCGATGCTGAGTTAGGTTTTTTTATCGGGTCAAAACTAGACCCAGCTGTCATGGATCCTTGGATTGTTAAGGTGTCTTCACTAAAAACCATTTTAGTAAAACAGGCATCATCTCTTCCATATGGTGAGGATATCATGCAATTCTAATCTAATAGTTGCAGTGATCCACCAATAACAAGGTCACCAGCTCAATCTTTAGGGAAATTTTTTTTAGGTGGTTACAAAGTATTTTTGACTATTGATAGAAGTGGACATTTCATCTCAAATGGACGTAGTTCAAGTGAGCCACCGACAGATTGCGCTGATGTAAATTACAGATTTTTGTCAAATATGAAGATTTTGCCCAAGTAAAATTGATAGGACGACTTATTGTTAGCCTTAGCATCGTTTATGTCATGTCTACTACCTCAGCAACATTTTGTATCAACTTTTTAAACTCAAAAAAAAGAATACTTAGAATTATGACTTTTAAACCCGTAAAACATTCTTGCAAACAACTTTTTAAAGAACTAAAGATTCTAACCTTCCCTAATTTGTATATTCTTAAATGTTTATTGTATGTGAAATAAAATTTTGAAAAACTCCACAGTGAAAATAATCGGCACAATTATAACACTAGATTTCATACAGATTTTCAATATCCTATACACAGATTAAATCTTGTGGAAAGGACACCTTCTTATATGGGTAAAAGATTTTTTAACAATTTGCCTGGGTACTACAAATCTATATAGGATTAGTATCTTTTAAAGAAAAAAAATTTGAATTTTTGCTGGAAAAGAATTATTATAGTATAGATCAGTTTCTCGAAGACAAATCAATGTGAATTGTTTGTTTTGTTACTATGTATTTATTTTTACCAATAAGCTAGTTTATTTTAGTATAGTTTGACGTCACCTGTTTTGTCTGGCTGTGCCAGAGCATTTAAAAAAACGTTTTGTGACAATAAAGATGACTTTGACTTTAACAAAAATTGAGGTAGAAAATAGAACTTTAGACACTAACTTGCACTGAACGTTCAATACCTTCTTAGTTCTCGCAAGATGGCTTCCCTGTTAACACTGCACTGGGCTGCCCTCTGAGTGAAGTGGGTTTGGATCATTAACTCTTGGAGGAGCTCACTTTCAATTCCTTGGCTTGATTTTATCACAGTCTGTGAACAAATCACGGCATCATAACAGGAGTTTTAACCACAGAGATAAACATTTCCAGAGTATCCCATATTATTGTCACGAAGAAAAATGTATGACTAGGAAAAATTATAGCGAACTCATAAAGTAAATGACACTAACCTTGTTTTGATCTTCTTCTATTATACTATCTATGGTGGTGGACAATCGCTGGGTGAGACTGGCAGTGACTTCAGCCACGTATTGTGCGTGTTCCGTGTTGTCAGTGTTGAGTCCTCCATCTTGCCACTTGACTGTCAGTCGCAGGATGTGTTGCTCAATCAGCTGATTCTATAAAAAAAAATTATCTGTCTACCTAGGTTTTCAAAAATGTTTTAAACCCATGTTGGAAATGAAATTTTAGCAACTTTTTTTTTAATATAGCCTATAGAACTACAGTACATTTTCTTCTTGTTCTGATCTGTTACATGTATCGTACATTGAATGGTTCAAACAGCCACATGTGATTGACTTAAATAGTTGCATCATTCTGTTCTTAGCTGTGAAAATAAACATAGCATGTGACTGTACATTACTAATTTTGTACATATAATGTGAGGTTTTCCGAAAGTATCCATTAATTTTTGATTAAATTTAAATGGTTAGGACAAGAGTTCATAGGTGTCCAGTTGAGGAGTCAACAACTAAATTTTGAAACAAGAAAATTATGTAAATAGATTTTTATTTACACATGTTATCGTTACCAGCAACTACTTATAGTTATTTTTTAAATATATCAACACTAATAGATTTCAACACTCAATTTACTAACTTAAAATTTGAAAAATAACTATATTTTAGTGTAGGATTATTAAGTATAGGGATCAGCTTGCTTACCTGGTAGACAGAGTCCAGATTAGGCTTACCGGGCTTACCAAAGCTAATCTGGACTCTGTCTACCAGGTAAGCTAGTTGATTCCTATGCTTGTACATAATAATTCTAATCAGCCAATTGTCCTTTCCTTAACTTCTATATTTTAGTGTAGTGATTTAAGATGAATATCCTACTTTGAGCGCTTTTTGTAGAGTCTCCAGCCGTCTCTTGAGCTCGGCGTCGGCGGGGGAGAGCGTGACTCTCGGGTCCTCCGTCGTGTGGGTGAAGACCCGACAAAGCCACAAGCAACGACGCGCCATCTCCTGGCTCATCAGAACTGTGTTGTGAACCTCCTGCTCAGAAATTAACAGATTGTTTTTTAAAAATATCTTGCATTGAGCCCTACAAGTGGCTCGGTGAGAGACTAATTATTTTGTAAACATGTTATAAACTGTTCTCATCAGTGTTTTAAACAGTGGAATTTTGTATACGACATACATTATAACATTATATACACACTTTGCTCCAGTCTTGTACATCTAAGAGAAGTCTGTCTTCAACAACCTCCCAGCAAACATGAACCAGCTATTACACTTTAAGAAATCCCTCAAAACTTGGATGAAGGAAAGACGTTACTACACTTAAAAAGACTTCTTTGTCAAATAAATTTTAACCAACTCTTAAAACAATAAAGAAAAGAAGTTGAGAGTGAATACAGTACCTGCTCAACTACAGTCGTGAGATACGTGTCTCGAAGCTCTTGAGGGAATGCTGCCAACATAACAGACAGTATCCTCTCAATCTCTGACGACCAAACTGCAAGAGCCTTTTCTTTTTCTTCCACACATTGCTCCTGAAACACCAAAGTATTTCTCTGTTACAGATATTGAAGATTATTTTGGTATTGACACAATTACTCATGGGGAAGTCAAGACGATTCGTCATGATCTACTCCTGTTGGGTTTGTTTGTTTGAGGTTTTTGCCGAAGCATAATCTCGACACCTAGAAACGTTGGTCCACCCGATTGGATCCAAAAAAGATAGCTATAGATCTTGTAAATTAGGATGACGTGAGGGGGGAAGAGGGATAGGCTCCCAACATCATTGAGAGTCACAACACAAGCACTAGGTATTAGATTAATCCTACGGAAATTAATTGTTGAGATAATTGTACGAAATTACAAATGCGATAGTTGCGGGAAAGGGTTCTTGTGCACATACGCATCATGTTCATCACTCTAACACGATTTTTCTTGTTAACTTTTGACACGGCAATACCAGCTATTTAGGGTCGGTATTTTCAAATTTGAGTGTGAGAACATGCGTATGGAGCGAGATGATCTGTGTAGCTTTATTACTAAGATGAGCTGTTTGCAATCACCTTGAAGCCAGGTATGTGCCTGGCGATGGGCTGCAGCCTGTAGCACGGCGGCTGAGCGTGACTGTCGAGTTGGTACCACTTGGTCAACAGAGCCTTGTTGTCCGCCTGACTCAGAGCCATCTCAAAGTCCTGTGTCTCGATAGTCTTGGGCAGCAGCGGAGTGCCAAGAGAGTTGCTCAGGAACAGCACAGGGATGACGTAGCCCGTGTCCGATTGCCCTGGGGACGAAATGTAAATTGAAACATTTTGCTTAATTAAGTGATCATATGTTTCTTAAATTGAAAAAAAAATACTCTTATAAAATCTAAAAATAATCTGGTGGTATATTCTGTGGTTAAACATTGTAATTGGATTTTCTCACTGTGTACACAATGGAGAGATTCATCCATTTCTTTGTTGAAGATGTAGCAAGATGCTATGGACACATTGCCCTGATAAATTACTGAGTTTTGACAAAAACACTAATTTGTTAGCCAAGCCTAACTGAAACAACAGCTAATTATGTAAGCAGCAGCATCTGTTATGACACATCAACATGATGAAATCTAATGAAGAATAGAATTTTAGACTCTAGCTGTGGCTCGTTAAACTATGCTGATTTTTAATAATTTGGTTACAGATAGTCTTTACTTAGATAGGATAACTACTTCAAAATCCAAAAGTCAATAGAACAGAATCCAATCCTTATAAAAAACAGTGTTTACCGTAGAATTTAAATTATTTACCATCACAGTTAAACTTGATAAGACATTGACATGGATATGGAGGAAAGTTTGTCTAAATATCTTGAACAAGATATGGATAAAAAATAAATTAACATAAAACAGAGATTAAGGAAAAGAATAGGCAATGCCTTTAAGAGTTATTCAAATCTTTTGCCATGAACATAATTTTATTAGTTTTTTATCTAGTTTGTGTTTGACATAAAGGAGGATAAACTAACAAAATATAATGTTAAGTAAAACTTACTCGCAAGCTCTTCAAGACAAAGCTCTGGAAACTCATGGTCTTGCTGCTTCTCCAACCCGGTTTTCCAATGAAGATCAACAATATGAAGTTCATAACCCCTCCCGGCTGCCTTTTCTCGTAACGAAGGATAGATTTTGTTATGAAGCACCCCTTTCTCAATGCAGCAATCTGTAAAAATGTAGTGATGATAAATCATGCCAAATTATTTAGTCTAAAAACATACTACAGCACTGTTCTTTTCTACCTATAAGGTCTTCTAGTAGTTGATGATTCTAAAAGCAGTGTGTTGGCGAGGTGAAGTGCCTTGTAGTGTACCAAGAGCCACATCAGAAAGTAAGTACAGTAAATACAAACTCTGAAGATATAATAAATAGATGAATCAGTTAGTTTAAAGGTCACACCACAGAGAGTCTAAATAATTATCAACTATGGTTCATTTATTTCAAAATGAAAGGGTTGTTTCAGATACCAGTTAGTTGTGTTTGTTATAGTTTACTAACGCCTGTGCAACGGCATAGCCTCCTCTGGTACAAGGCCGCGGTATTGGTAAGTAGCCCAGTGCCATCGTGATAACAGAAATAACAAACGTGAAAACAAATAATTGTTCAGACACTCTATTAGTGCAACAGCTGTTTTGGTTTGCCGCCATAGCATGTTGTCACTTTATCTCGCCACCTGAAGTTAGAGGTGGCAACGGTCATCAAAGTACACGTTTATCACAATTTTTTACGAAAAGCAGGTCTTACCTTGTGAGTCAGCAGCACAGATGTAGATGACAATCTTGCGAGAGCGAGTGTTGGTCCGGGCGGCTGCGGTCGCACCTAGCAGTAGGTGTTGACTGTTGTCTGACAGGCGACGCACCAGTGGAGGCAAACGGGACTTGTCTACCTCCCTGGGACTCAACACTCCGGGCGGAGAGTTGGGAGACACTGAGTCAGCTGTGACAAGTATAATATGTAGCGGTTGTGTCGTTAAATACTGATTTGCACCTAAAATATGATTAAAGCTTATATTTAAGGTCACATACGTTTACCAAATATTGTCTATAAACTGGTAAAATACATTTTACCAGTTTTTACGTTCTCCCCCTACACATGGTAGGAGGAAGAAGCTATGGTTTTTTGTCTACACTTTTTCTTTTGTGTTCTGGAGGGAAACATATTCCCCCCCCCCTTTGAACACATTAAATTCATTTTTGAAGTAATGTCTGTATGTGTAGATGTGAGCAAAGCTACAGACTACACCTGTGGTCCAATTTTGATGAATATTTATTTGGTACGTAGATATCTCTCCCTCCAGGTATTTATAATTTGTTTGAAATTTTTTTATTTTGATGGAGATTTTTCTACAAAGCACCATAAAAAAGTGGAAAAATAAGATTTTCACAAAACGGCTCAAACAATTTTCATAAAAATGTTGTATGTTATAGTCCTTTTAACACCTAACCAAATGGTACAACCCCAAATGCTGTACAAATTAATGTTTAAATAAAGTTGAATATTTGTGATTTTACCTATAAAATATCACAGTTTACTTCCACCGCTCACCGCTTACCTATTATAACGGTTGTTGACAAGCTAATGGGGAAAGTATGTAACAGTTTGCTTGGTAGACCTAAGAATTGACAGAATACCACAAAGAGCCTGAAAATAAGTGGTAATGAATATAAAAAAAATAGGTTTTGGTACACACACAATCCATTCCTTCTATTGCTATGACACAATAATATTGTAGTAATACAATAGTTAAATTTTATTTAGCTAATGTTTGGTAAATTTTTTTCCCATTTATGTTCAACCTTTATAACTTCAGAATGGATTATAAGGAACAAAAATCAACTGTTTGTCAGATATGTGCTATATATTTATGAAATCAATATTTTGTGACCGTATGACGTTGGTTTAAAATTACCGTAAATTTTTGTAAATGTACCGTAGCTGAAATGGAAATACTTAAAATAAGGTAAAGAATTCAAAGAATTTGAACCATTTCGTGGCAGGAAATAATGTTGATGGAGTTGAGAGCAGTGAGTTTATTCTTGGCCATCTTATTTTGCAGTGAAGATTAAATTAAAATTTGTGAGTGGCAGCAACATCCGCTAGAATGTTTTTAATTTGAACTGAACTCTAAGAGCAGAAAATGTGGATAGACGTACCTACTAAAATGCTTTTCAAATTTATAACGTTGAGTTTTATAATAATTATATAGGCAACTAAAATTTCAGAAAAAATATTACAGCAGTAAGTAAATTTCCTTTTTATTAAGGAGACTACCTACGATTTTATTATTATTTTAGGTAATCGTTACTTACTTAATTTTGTTCCTGAAGAGACTCAAAGTTGAAATACCCAAGGTTTCATGTTATGTTAAAAATCTCTTTTTAGAGCACAGAAGTTTGGACTCCATCAGAACTTTGAAATTTATGGGGCCATATTGCACAATCTTACTTAGGCCTAGATAAGCTGTAACACTTTACAGGGGGCACATAGAGGAAAATTGATAAGAAGAGCAATAAATGTGTGATATTATATTAAACAAATTATCATATAGCCTAGCTTTAAGAGGGGGAGTCCAATGCATAAAAAGGTTACTCATTGGTAGGATTTGAACCCAAATCCCCAGAGGATAGGAGTGTAACGCATCAACCACTAGATAGCCATACGCTACCTCATCTATATATACATATACTTTTAAAGGAAAACATTCAATCACAAACAGTTGGCTAGCTTGTAGTAGCGTGTAGTATGAGAATCCAGCTGTGCAAAAAACTCCCTAAAAATCTATCCTCTTTTGAACATATGGAATTTAGTGTCACAGTACTACAGGTAAGGGTCGGTGTAGTAAATGTGCCTGGGCCCAGGGAAGCAAAAGGTTTTAGGTTTGTGGGTGTTGTAAGGAAGAGAACAATACCCCGCAAGGACGGGAGGGAAGGCATAATTTTTCTCAGGTTCATAGCGCATTACATTATAACCGCAAGCTTGCTTCAGGACAGATCAACATAAGATCTAAGATTTCAGGGCTTGCCCCTTGACACATGTCAAATTTATGTTTTACCTAGGCGACAATCTGGTCCGTATAAATCATTTTGTTCCAAAGAATACCGCGTAAAACCTCAATAAAAAGGTAAATGTGTCATAACCATCATAAAGTGTTGTAAATGAGGAGGCGGTAATGGAAATCATCTAAGCTATGATTTGCCTCATAAATATTATATTCCTAGATTGATTACTCACTGGAGTAGCTAGAGGTCGCTATGCTCCGGAAGGGCTTAGGACCCTTGTTGCCTCCCACTGTGACAGCAGGGGCTGGAGCTTGAACACTGGGAGCCTGGCGGGCCACTGACTCCACAGTAGCCGGCTCCAACACAACCCCACTCTGCACTGTGGGAGCCACAGCAGTCTTCTGGTCTGACTCTGGCTTGTTCTTGCATACTTGGTAACTGGGAGATCTGCAATAAAAGTAACTTGGTTAATTCACACATTATTTTCAATCGTAGAGTGGTAGATCATGTTTAGATGGTTTGTAATCCTTTCAATACTACGAGGGCGGCTTTTTTAAGTAAGGGCTTATTTTGCGTATTGCGAGGCTCCTCGCTACTACTGGCGTCATTTATTAACAGAATGACACCATTTACAGCTTTGTACCTGGCATGTACACTTTGCTGTGTGTTTTTAAGAGTTTTTAACTTTTGAATCTCCCGTTGTATGTGAGATAAGGTCAGTGATACGTTTTTTACCACAAGAAACATATCAGATGCTGAATTTATCGCCAGATGACTGAAGTTTATGACCCTGATAGTCGAGCAAGAGCAGAAATAGGCTAAGGAGTTGAAAAATGGCCATGAATAAAATGTTCACTTCGGAAGGAATCGTGTTTTTGGTCGATACCCAGAATTCTCACAGAAGACCACCAAGGAAAATGGATTCCCCGGCCATTTTTACACTCCATAACCCATTTCCAAACTTTTCTCTCGAGGCTATTCTCTTGTATTACAAGTTTGGATGAAAATTAACGCCCCAAAGGCCCCACAATCTCAGACTGCATCTTAATAAATGAAGTCATATAACAATATCCCAATCTTAACATAACCCTAATTTGTTGCTGGGTCAACAAGGGAGTTAATAAAAACTAGGGGCCCATAACAGCAATTGCTGCCCTTCACCTTGTAATTTGGCTTTACCATCCCCTATTATGTGCACCATTCCTAAACTCTCCTTCGTAGTCGTGGTCTTCCCCTAAACAATACATTTCAATGCTGCATTACCATTCTAACCTAAAAACAGAAAACTAAAATCAATAAACAAACAAATAAGCAATGTTTGCATCAGCTGGAATAATTGAAACAGCTTATAGAAACACTGTGGCAGTATCGCAGTAATTCCATTAGATAATGACAACCTTTTAACTCGTACTCGTGGCCTTCCAAGTAGCTACATCGCAAGTAGGGTTGTATGTGTATCAGCAATCAGCTGTTTTGTTTGAAGGCGGCTAATGGTATTTGTGTATTTAAAAAATAAATACAAAAGCTTGGTTACTGGTCTATGAAAATATTTACTCCAATTTAATGTACAAAAATAGTACTTTTAATAAATTTATGTTTAATTTAAATGAATAATACGCAAATTAATGAGCTGGTGTCACATGTCTGCCATGTTATCTTATGGGACGTCTGGCGCTAGACAACACTACTTGCAACGTTGCCGATTCTACCAGGCCGCGGCCTGGAGCACGGCCACCTTTAACTACAGGCCGCGGCCTGGTAGAATTGACACCAGCTCATTATTTTGCGTATTATTCATTTAAATTAAAATTTATTAACATAAATTTGTTGAAAGATTGAAAATAAAACATGTAGAACTGAAAACAAAAACAATATTTAAATTGAAAATCAATTTTTGTACTTTTAAAGTGGAGTCAATATTTTCATAGCACAGCAACCAAGCTTTCGTGTTCTAAAAAAATACACAAATTACCATTAGCTGCATCCAAACAAATCAGCTGTTACAACCCTACTTGCGATGTTGCCACTTCAAAGACTCGGCCTGGAGTTAAACGTGGCCATGTTTGAAAGCCTGTGGCGCAGAGTAAGGATAATTGTTGACATTTCTGATGTTTTTCCCACCGTCCTTGGACTTTAAGCTTTAAAACTAATCCTCAACAGCCATGTTACCTTTTTCCTAGCTCGAGATAACTCGAGGGGACCGTTTCGCCTACGGAGTTAAATATTTAGATAATTTGGAAGTGAACTAAGGAATAAGGACGGAAACATGTAATTTAAAAACGTGAAGTATATATAAATCAATAAACGATTGAACTGATAATAGCTTCCCACATTTACGGGCACATATTCTATGCAATAAGCGAGGCCTGAATCTTTTACATCCCCTGATTACAGTTCCAATATCGGAGGAAATAGAAGCGCCGCTGCAACACGGGTCCTTAGTGGAGTTCATTAGAGGCCCAGGGGATCAGCGTCAGTTGCTGATGCGATCTAGACGTCAGCAAGAGACCCGGGCGTCGGTCTGCGTCAGCGGTGACGTCAGCAGCGGGGTCGATAGTCCACCCCCTCCACCTGCACGCACGTAGTATACGCATACCCCCACCCCGCCACGTCGTAGTCTCCTCATTGGGCCGGTGGCTTGTTGGTAAACTTAGATGTGGATTGATTCAAAATACAGTTTAGCACCACCGTAGGTGGTGAGAGAGAATTGTATGTATCTGAAAATAACGACTGGTTAAAAATTATTAGGGGAGCATTATTAGTGGTGTGCGATAAATTACGAGCAAGTTATATTTGGGTTCGTGATTCCGTAATATATCGCATTTTGAATGTGTATGAAACCATAGGCTTAGATAGATATCATAAAACGGTATCAAGATAAACAGGATACAGTCACAAATAAAAAATGTCCAAATTTAAATGTTTACCCAAACTTTAGTAGTAACAATGTCAACACGATAGTACCGGTACATCCATAGTTGAAGCTATGATACTTTAAAAATTTAAATGGTTACATAAAAACCTCGAAATTCATTAGAGTTGCGTTTCTAATTGGCCAGTAAAGGTGGTTTTATAATTTTAATTACAGTTATGAGTAGTAACTACTGTATCTAATAATTAGTACTAACCGTTATACCCGTGCTTGGCAACCCGGGAGGACTTTAAATAATCTGTATGAATGTTTTATGTACCTGCCAACCATTAGAAAAAGTTAAATCGATTAAATACTTGGGAGTTTTGCTTGATGAGAAACTAACTTTTGAACACCATATTTTAGAACTACACTCAAAATTAAGATCGCACAAATTAGAAAGTTCTATTTTCTACGAAATTTTTGTAACACTTCACTTTTACGAACACTTTATTTTGCATTGATAAATTCAAGATTACAATATGCCTTGCCTTGCTGGGGAGGTACTTACAAAACATTATTAGAGAAGATTAGAACAATTTAAAATTTTTTCTTGCGAATAATTGTCAAAAAACCTAAACGAACTAGCTCTTTTCCATTATACCAACAGTTATGCATTCTACCAGTTCAACATCTTTTTATTTTTAAAGTCCTGAGATTGTTCTTCATCCGGAGCGGAAACAGAGAAAATATAATTCCAAATCATCCTTACAGTACAAGAAGTTTTGCAAATAAATTTATCAAATTACCCAAAGTAAACAAAACTTTTTTCAGACATTCATTTCAATACTTGGGTCCAAAATTTTACAATCAGCTTCCGCTTCATATTAAAAATACAAGAAATTTCAAACACTTTTGTAAAAGAACAATCACTTGGCTTAGTTCTCAACAGGATGTAGGTTATCTTGCCAACTCTTTGGTATAAGATTGTGTTACCTTATTTTATGTGTATTTTGTTAACACTTTCTTAGTCTAAGTTTTGCCCAGATGTTACAGCAGGCGGATAAAATATTTGTCATTTGATGCTAGGCTCAACAATTTATTATTTATTATGTATGATTAACCTTTTATCTGGCCACACTACTTGAAAAAGTGACCAGTTTACATTTCTCAACAATTATTATGATTGTAAAGTATTTTGTAATATGTGAAATAAATTCATTTATTCATGTTTACACATCCTTAATTGATATTAGGAACAATATTTAGAATATAATCGTATAGCATATATTTTCCTCAAATTTAAAGTAGTACACACTTATATAAGACTACGGTATCTGGTACGACGTGAGTGCCGCTGATATATGTCTAATACTGTACATTAAAAACGCTTACCTAAAAGTAAAAGTGTATACTTTTAAATCCTACCAATATATAAAGTGAGCCGACAATTATAGGGAAGCAAAACCCCCAATACAGCCAGTCAGATAACTTAAACACAAAATGAAAATCATGGCCTCGACATTCCTTCATTTCAAAATGGTTTTTTCCTTTAAAAGAAAAATCGTGAAACCTCATAAAGTGTTTGATGACGTTTATGCTTACCAATACAAAGGGTCACATTTACGTGGCGAAATAAACAAATCAATACAGTTTTAGTTTATGAAAACTGCTTCGTTTTAAATACTTAAATTATTTCAAAGTGATTATGATACCAGTTATAAATTAAACAAATCTACAGTTCGGTATGTATAACTTGTGGTCATACTTGACAAGCATGTGATGGCGAAGGAATTCAGCTATCAAACCTCTAGCAGTGGTTTACAAAAAAAACTCTTTCTGAGGACCCACCCACCAACATTCAGGATATCCTTTCGAAAACTTTATAAAAAATATCACTCTCTGTTAATGGCCCGAAAGTAAACATTATTTAACATTGCTTAAATTTAACTGTCTAAACCATGTTAATGCTATATTAGTACTGTATAGGATTCGGGCCAGTTACGTCCATCGATATATAATAACTCTACGTTACGTCATTTGTTTATATTTATTATCCATACAGGTTTCGGTTCTAATATTCATGATATCACTTATAGGTAATTTACGAAGTACCCGCGCGCATATTGCGCAATTTGAAGGGTTCAAAACTAGTATCTGAGGCAAAAAGTATCCAATTAAATTAAAAACTAAAATCGTTTAAGTATAGAGTATTTCAAAAATCATCAATAGGCTTATGTTTCTTTCGTATCCAAAATATTTTAACTTTTGGCTGAAACGTCTGCAAATTCAATCTAAAGATGCCAAATTCAATAAACTTTAAGACATAACCTTTTATTATGGTAGAGTTCTAAGGTTTTCTAGGAAACCACCTCACATCCAAAAACGATACCAAAGTCATTGCTGTAAAATCGGTTGAAAAAGTTATCCAGCAAAAACTATTACGTCTTGAATCCTCACAATATTTTCACACTTGTTTACTTATGCCATTTGTAATTAACGATTCATGGTTGACTATATAATGCTGTCGTTGTTAAATATTAGGCATGACGCGATTAAAGCATTGTAGTGAACGTGACGTAACCTGTACGTAGCA